GACACCAGGACGCGTGTATCACCCTGCATCATCTCTTAGGCAGGATCCGGCGCGTTATACACGGCGCAGGAGAATAACGATCGAGGGTCGTTGAAAATAAAAAACGAGAGTGCCCGAGGTGGCTAGACGAGGTTCTTGTTTTACCCTCTTTTTCACTCCTGGCGGTTTTTCTGAGACCCTACAACCGAGGTCTTGGTCAATCTCGGTCTCTTTCCCCTCTTGGTCGAATAATCCACGGACTTTCGGCCGAGGGGACGAAAAACCGCCACCCGCCGAAGTGCGCACCTCGAGGGCGTGCGTCGCGAGTCGAGGAGCGTCTGAGTATACGAGATAGAGACGCCGTCTGGAAGCTTCTAAAGTCGTCTGACGATCCCTTTCTTCGCCGTCTAGAACGACGCGATAATGCCCCATGGGGTTGCGAGCCGATTGTCGTCGTTTCGGCACGCATCGCGGACGAGCGGGACTTTTGAACGCTTCCGGGGCCTCGTAACTCCGCGCACTTAACCTCAATAAACGCGGCTAATTAGACGGGCCTGAGACCGCCCGAGGCACTTCGTAACCGGCGTTAAGCGTTTCCTTCCGTGGTTACGTGCGCCTTGAGGTTAACGAGCCGATCCGCACTGCGGCCGATCCTCGAAAAACACGCGATCGTTCCCGCCCGAAACGACTCGCCGTTCGATTTCCAACGTGACGGGGAAAAATTAAATAATCCCCAGGCTTCGGTTAATTCGGTCGGTTAATTTGATCGCTTGTTGCGCGCGGCGCTAATTTACTCGCCGAGAAAAATGTTTCATTGGAGCAATGAAATATTTTGTTAATTCCGAGAATAATTATTTGACTGAAATGAACTCGAATAAATCGGACGCAGCGTTTCTTCGGAATTAAGACAATTTATTTGAGTTTGAATAAAATCATAATTCCCTGAATTGACAATATTCTTTGGTTCGACCGATTTTTTTCTCGGTGCAGAAATGGCCGCAGGACCTGCGCCGTGCAATTTTGATTTTAATTTTAAATGGAATTTTTTTTCCCCGGCGCCGAGGTCAGTTTCCGGATTAAAGGGTTGACGGACGCTTTTGGATGCCCCTCGTGGCCGGGAAACTGCTGGGGCAACCTACTTTGGGAAGAATCGACCCACTTGACATGCCCAATGGGATTAGCGAGGTCAAGAGTGCTCTTGCCAAATCCCTGGGACGTCCGTTTAAGGAGGTCAACATGCAAGCTCATTCGAAAATAGCGGCTTTAAGCTGCGATCCGAGACCTCCGAGGTCGTCTCTCGAGGTGATTAATTCCCGGACACGAGGACCAAAGATCTTAAAAGATAATGCGAAAGGGCGACCCGAAGGGGGTAATTAATCCGGAAATATAAATTCCAAGACCGATAAAATGTAAGACCCAAGAAACCCCTTCGACGGTGATTAAGCGACGTTTTACTCGGTCCTTTTCTTTTTCCAACAAATGAAATCGTCGTAACAAATTCTAGACCAGCTCGAGGTTCTTCCCCATTTCTCTCCCCTGGAGCGGCAATAAGTTCCAAGATGCAAAAGTCTGCGTTTTCTCCGCGCGAAAACGAAAGTGCGACGCGCGGAAGCCGCCGCGTTTACTTTCGGAGTCGTTCCGACGTTAAACGGCGTGTGTCGTTGCGAAACTCCGGAAGAGCGGCTAGATCGGCGATCGATCCGCGCCGTATCGCGATTTCCTCCCGATCGTTAACGCGATCGCATTTCTCGCTCTCCCGGGAGAGTTTCAACAATTCATGGCAACGCTTTCGGTTCTAATTTCCCGCATTATTGGAAGTGGCATTAATCGGCAATAAATGACGAGCGGTTAAGGGGCATGGTTAACGATTTCCGTGATTTTCCGGCAGGGCAAAGTCGATTTCTCACAGGAAGAGACCCGAGGCTTTCCCTTCCGATCGGGAAATAAGCCGGGGGTAACTCAATCTCGGTGTGCCGGCGAGCAAATCGAATTAAATCGAAGATAATTGCCGGCCAGGCGGCGGCTCGATCGATCATCGATCGCCGGGGATAAATCTCGTCCGGGATAACGGCGGACTTCCCGATCCTGTTTTTAGCCCCGAGTCGGCCGGGAGAGTTTCCCCGGAATCGACCTCTTTCCCCCGGCCTGCCCCTACGGCCAATCGAAGCCTCTATAATCGATACTTTCCTATCGTTCCCCCTTATCACGGGTCGGAAGCGTCTCGCGAAGATCCACGAACGCCGAGATTCGGGGAAGACTTGCATTTTCTTATAAATGATTGAAAGGAAAAAAGGAGATAAATTGAAATTGCACGTTTTCCGGGACGCCGGGTCAATCTGCGTCGATTTTCCTCGTCGATTCGTCGCTCTCTCCGCACTTGCATATTCGCCCTATCGAATCCGCCAATTTTTAATCGACTCCTCCAAGGGCCGATCAGATATACCCACATCGGCTCGCATTTCCGCGGATGCCTCCGCCGTCCGTCCCGCAGCTGCATCTCTCGTAATTACGCCGGGTAATTGCAGGACGCGCGACATCTCCGCGATAATCCGCGGTATGCGCGCTCGCAAAAAAGACGTGGAATCGCCATTAGTCTTCGTTGCGATCGCACCTGTCCGCCGTCGTCAGGGATTTTCTCCTCTGGCGTTTCCTTCCCCACTGCTGCCACCTCAGGTTGCACCAGTCCCACGGCCAGAAGCCCTTACTCATGGAAAGAATTAAACTCATGAATTTAATCAAAAACAGCCGAATGAATTCCGCAAAAGTGGGATTTCCTTCTCGATCCTGGTATTTTATTTTTTTTTCCTACGCTAGGAATCAGTTGGAAAAATCATTCACGATTAACCCGGAAAATTGGAATCGACGTAACGGGGCATCTCTTCCTCGCTCTTATCGGACGATCCGCTCGCTCTTCTCCGCATTTTCTGCGATCCTCCGCAGCCGGCCGTTATCCGCGGTTATCTGTGCAGTCCTCCGCGACGCTGCAACGACGTCCGAGTGCAACGGCGTCTTGAGGGTTATCTCGGCTACCAATCTGAAAATTGCTGACCCGAATCGGGCCCGGGTTAAGTGAATGTGATATCGAGCAATTATATGAAGGGAGTAACGCCCGTCGAGGAGCGCTCTCGAGATCGTTCAACGGAAGGAGGCCGATCTCCTGGAGATCGCTCTCCGTTCCGCTCCCGTTCGCTCCTCCGATCCTTGATCCGATTCGATTTCGTTCGATCGCCGCTGGAGCCGATCGGTGTCATCGACTCGCCGCGGTCTTTGATCCTCTGCCACTCCCTGCTCCTTTTTTATCCCTCTATCACCGTGACGACTGGCCATTATCCCGTCCGCGGCATGGTCTGCACGGATCGGCTATTAGCGGCGGAATTACTGGAAACAGGAGAAACATCTTAATGTAAACACGGTACAAAGGCGCATTATTAGTAAGTCGTTGCGAACCTCGACATAGCCAGGTGAAACCGCATCCGATTGGCGAGGTGGGGCAAGAAAGTAAGTTCCTTAAGGTGTTATGAAAGTGTCGTAAATATACCCCAAAAAAGTCAAAGTATTTATAAATATTTTCTCCAAACTGGGTGCACCGAACAATTTCAGACTTTAACACGTGATTACGCAGGTCCTAATCTTGAAACTCATGAAAAATGACATTTCGCGAGTTTCGACATAATCACGTGTTAAAGTTTCAAATTATTCGGTGCACCCAGTTTAGAGAAGTTTTATAAATATTTTCATGTTTATATATATAGTGACCCTTTCGTATCACCTTAACTTCGATTAAACGTTTTAGCCAACTCGGCTCTGCGGCTTCTGGAAGCCTCTTGCGGGGAGAGGTATTTTTTTTTCCAATTAAACCTTCTCACCGGGAGACACTTGGCTGTCGACGTGAGAGCGGCGTCGAGTCGCCAGGAATATCCCAGAGTATCCGACGAGTTCGAACGATGGCCAGGGGACACCCTTAGAGCAGCTTTTCGAGGCGAGTCCTCGGGGTTAATGGACTGCGAAGTGCCGGCGTCGCGTAAAACGACTGCCGCTTCCGCGGTCTGAGTGCCGGGCGCTGATTGGCCCTTTCCCCTGGAGCCGCGCTCCGCCCGCCAATCAGGGCTCGCCGTTCCTCGCGACATGCGCGCGCAAGTGTCGATGCATGCGCCTCATCTCGCCTTACCCATTGACGTACTAAGTTCGTTTTAAAATAATGGCCGGTGTAATGAGCGTTTCCTTGACCGGTCAGTAAAATACGGTAATTCGGTGTCGCCGGGATATATAATGGATCCATAATGCATGATCGACGACGACGGTAACGTCATAGGCGACGGCGACTACGGTGTTGGATGAGCCTTTAAACCCTAGGCCCGGTGCATTCACAACTGACCTACATGCATACTTCAAACTTAAGCTCTTAAGACGGCGACTTAGGCCACGTACTTTACGGGACGTCTCGAGTGTCCCTCGGGTTCTCCCACTTGCCTCAAAAAGAAGAGACACTCGCTCTCTAAACGGGTTCTCCTATCGAGGGGATTCTTGTCTTCCCAATTCCTGGGTATTCCACCCTTCGCTTCATTTGAATAAGGAAAAAGGTTAAATATCCTCCGTCGAGCATGTCGTCTGAACGTTTCAGCTCCCCTACCCGCAGAATAAGAAGCGAGAGTCATAGCAAGAATGTTTACCCGCTTCAACAAACGTAAACACTTGAAAATGGGCCAGCAAAATGTTTGCCCAGAAACGCTTTTATTGTATTGTTGAGAAAAGAACGATTACTTCACTGGGGCAGCGGAAATTATATTCACGGTTGCAACATCCTTTCCTTGCAACAACATAATTTATATCGCTCAATCGATCGAGTAGGGACAATAACATTCTCTCGGCTGTTGCTACAAATCCATTTGCTAATTTAGTAAACACTTTTACCAAATAAAACCGCAATGGACACATCTCGATTCTACGTGATTGCAAATATTTTTGCCGTTGGTGTCATTTTCATTGATGATCTTGAACGTAGGAATTGTTGGGTGTTGCAGGCAGTGAAGCTGGAGTCGGTGCATCCTGGGAGAACGCGTTACCTAGTCGTGGTGTCCTGTACGGGTCGTCAGGACGCCGAAGAGAGCTGTCTGCTGGGGATCGACTGCCATGCCAGGGCGACAGTGGGACTGGTCCTCCGGGTTCTAGCGGACACTGCCATCACCCTGGACGGCGATGGGTAAGTTCCTTTACTCCTATTCCCCGTCACCCTGTAAAACGATCAAAAGGTGATAGTAATCGACGTGGCCGGATAAGCCGTATCGAGGCTGCATGAACCTGGTATCCAGTTTGAGGCACAAACAAAATTAACAGGCTGATTGGAATGTTCTTCTAATGTAGACGTTTGTGCCATGTTGAGTTTTGTTTGTGTCATTTTTTTTTTATCTTTTTACACGGCTCTGGTTTTTGTAAAGAAAAAATGCCACAAACAAAACTCAACATGACACAACGTCTACATCACAGAAACATTCCAATAAGCCTGTTAATTTTGTTTGTGCCTCAAACTGGATTCCAGGTTCACACAGCCCCGTATCGGGTACCGGGTACCGTCTATGTGGAAGTCGAAGACGAGTGGAGAGGAACTCGAAGAAACCGAACCGACTGCTGAATATCGCCGGTCGTCCTTCTAGTCCTTCTCCGTCTCTCTCAGGCTCTACAGGATGCGAGCCATTATCGCGCCCGAGGAAAAGACACGGAGAGAAGCAGGGACAAAACGAGACGGGATTGCATCCAGTCCCCCCCTCTCTTTCTCTCTCCTTCTTTCTCGGTTACTTACGTAAGCCATTAACGCGCGTTTACGACCTCGGGAGAGTCCCCGCAAGCGGTCACCGCAGCCGGAACCGCGTGGCCGGGCTAATGGCGGAGAAAGCCTTTCCATGGGGAACGAGTCGAGTCCTGACCGTGGATAAAGGTCCCCCATATGACCCATCGATAATCGACGCTCTCTCCATGGCCCCATAAGCGTTCCTGAAATAATTATCGAAAATTACGATCCGACCTGCCGCGCTCCAATTATCGCTATACGAACTCGTTCAGCGACGTCGACGACGGATTCAAGGGGACTTGTGTTCCTCTCGCAGAGAGAGATTTACGTCTATCTATATTAAGCCGTACAAAAGGTTGCGGAATCGCTCAAACAACGTTCGCGCGGTTCAGCCGAGCAAGCCGCGAGGTCGTCGAAAAGGTTCCCCGTTTGACCTATCTCTTGGAATACTGAAAGGGCATAACTCGCTCGGCAAGGATACATACAGGGTGACTCGGGGGTACATCGACCAACGACAGACTACAGCGCCGCAAGAAAGTCCAAATCCCTCCTTTTTCCTCGGATTTGGCATGGCAAGTGGGAGTCCATTACCACGAAACCATCTCCTGGGAACAACGCGATCCCCGATTCCTCCTAAATGGCAGGCCATGCTCTTTATCCCTAAAAATATATAAAAAAGAACGTTGAGCTTTCTCGCGTGGATCGTTCGGTGAGTCACCCAGTACGCGTCGCGACTAGCTTCCTTATAAACGTTTCCTTTGTCTTTTTGCCGCTTCTTTCTTCCCCTTGTTCCTTCGGCTTTATGGTTGTGCAAACCCACCGGGAGACAATGAGAGTGACGTGGTGGCCGCTCGAAAATCGGCGCGGCCCCGTTTCGGAGAGACCCGACTCGGACATAACCTCCATCCCCTCTCCGTTGGCAAGATGGTGGCTCCTTTTTCGAAAATCGACGCCTCCGTTTCGGAGTGGGCCACGTCGGTCCCCTCTACGTCCCTTCCTCCGCATTCCTAACGATCCTGCGGTGGCGCAGGCAATGACGCGTCGTTTTTTCGAAAATTGGCACGGCTCCGTTTCGAGCGAGTCCGACTGCGGCGATGTAGGCCGACGAGGGGGCGCGCCGGTAAGGCGAGTCTCGCGCTAGTGCCGCCGGCAGCCGCTAGGGGCGCGCGGGCGGCCTGCGCAGTCGCGTGCGCAGACGGAGGCGCGCGGATGGACGGAACGGAATGGTGGAACGGAATGGTGGAACGGAACGGAATGGAACGGACGGAAGAAAGTCCAAGAGAGCGGGTCATCGACACCGGAGGAACGCGAACTGCCCGGCGCTCGCTCATTTTCTTCTCCTCCTTGGAGTAGTTCCCCTTCTGCTCTCTTTTCTTTTCCCGCTGGCCTTTCTTTCTTAGGCCTACGCCTGTCCGGTGTAAACACGGCCGCGACCGGCTACCGGTTTCTCTTCCTTTTGCTCCGTCTCCTCGCCCTCTCTCGTGCCGTCACTTTTTCTCCCTTGCACAACTTTTTCTCCCCTTTTTTCTTTGTAGCAATCTTCGGTGTGGCCGATTTTGCACCTTCGCCTTGCTTTCCGCCATTTTTTACAACCATTCTGCGTACAGGTTAGACCCTTGTGGCGTTTCGAGGTCATTCAGGACCATGCAATTTCGGGAACGGTGGGGTTTAATGAGTTGTATTGTGTGTTTTTATGTGTTTTCTTATGGTCGGTTATGTTTTGAAACTAATGGGTCCGTTGTTTGCACACGCCTGGTTAGATAAACGCTTTCCGCTGGAGCGAGTCATGCTCTGGAGAACGGTCTCTGCTTCGACCTTGAACCCCCCACTCTTCTCCGTCTCTTTCTCGCAAAAGGTCTTCAAGGTCCCGAGGGAGTTCACCGTCCTTCACGATCTCCCGTATGCTCGATCTTTATCGTACTCTCCTTTCTTCGTCCCCACTTATGAAGAGATCTCGGCCGGTGGAGAGGTTAGGAACGCCGCGAGCCGTAAACCTCGCCACCTGTTTTAAGCGTCTTAAGAATTTGAGAAATTCGAAAAATTCAAACGTTAACGTCCGAGAAAGTCGTAGCGGAGTTTTGGCTCGACGTCGAATGTATTTTGACCATGACACGCGACTGAGTTTTTCACCTTTTGGGAGACGTTCCGTGTTTTACCGGTTTTTTCTCTCTTTAATTTCAGAGGCTTCAGCGTCAGCGTCTGCGGCCGTCAGCATATTTTTAAGCCAGTCTCCGTTCAAGCGATGTGGTAAGTCTATTGGACGACTAAAAAGAATCCATTTATCCGTGGTTATTTTTAAGCTTTACCCAAGCGAGCTGAAGGAAAATGCAGGATTCAATTTATCATGGTGAAAGGTGTATGCACGTTGCAGAAACTCATACTGGGGAAATTCGAGAAACGAGAGTCGACGTCTTTCTTTTTTTTCTTTTTTTCCCCCCTTTTTCCACGTACCGTGGGTAATTACTTAAATTCTCTGTACCCACCCACGGGTGTAGGAAGCGTGTCATGCGCATCTGCCGGAAGAGTATTAAACCGCGTAGGCGCGAATTACGATGCAGCCACCAAATAAAAGTACCGAGATGGTTACATCGATCATGAACACCTAGCGGAAGACGTCGACTCTCTCGACTTGGCGGAAAATATCCGAGAACGTGAAAGCCGTCGTATCCATCGTGTGACTTTTTCGAGAAAAACGTGTTTCCCTTCGATGTTCGAATCTACCCTGTTAAAAATATTCCTAAAATTCATACACTCTTAACACATTAGATTGTGGTAAAATGATAAATCTCACGTCTCAAAAGATAATTATCATAAGCTATATGATAAACTTCAAAATGGTAATTTTTTAACGTCGCATTAGAAGTGTGTGAAATTTTGTAGAAAAACGCGTACACTCGTGTATTAAATTTATAACATGCGTTATAGATGTTGTTTGAAGACTAAAATTAGTACACCGTGTCTGAATAAAGCTTCCAACAAAATTTGTATAAAATTTCAATATTTTAATTTTTTTTAACAGTAGGAAAAGCGGTCGAGGTGGGCGGTACCTCTGTCGATGGGCGTTTCGATTATCTTAACGAGATATGGCTTAAAATCATCCCGAGTTTTCCGTTTCACCTCGAAATATCGAGTCGAAGCTACGAAGGATCGATGAGTTTGGTCCGATTTGAAAGGGGTCTGGATTTCTTGTTAATGGCCGGATGTAAAAATCCAAGAAAACGTGTACGAGGTGCGCAACCGGCGCGACGAGATTTCGAGCCGTCTGGGGCTCTCGAGTCGAGGAAAAATGGCGCGTGAGTGGGCGGCAGCTTAATTGGCAGACGTCTCGATTGTCCTGACCGGAGATACCGCGTTAGCGAGAGATATCTGCCGACCCTTTATGCACTTAGCCGGCCGGGGAAAGAGGGGCGATTTTTCGCGCCGGCGAAAATGCCCTCCCACGCGAAGCATCGTCGAGACCGCGAGTCGATTACCTTAGAATCGCCGTATCCGGCGATCGCATCTTCGATCCACCAGAGAGATGACTAACGTCGATTTATCGGCGTCTCGGTGCTATAATCAGCCGGGAATTACTTCCTGCTAGCCGCTAGATCGAAAGTCGACGCGTAATCGCGCGAATTAACGCCCTTCTCTCCGAGGGACGCGACCTGAAGAACGGGAGACGCTTCTTGAATCCAATATGGCGGACGCCCGCCGACCAGTGCAGAAACGAGGGTTAAAAAACGGACTCCGTTGGATGCTCCCTAGGATTGTTGCCGGGGAAAACTTGGCCCTCGAAACGAGGGAAACCGTCTCGTCGGGGTTTCGCCGGCGTCCCGACGACCGAGGTGAAAGACGCCTCGGCGTCCCTCTATTCTTAGCGAAGCCTCGTGGTCCTAACCTCCGGTAGTGAGGTGCAACCACGGACCAACGCCCGCGCCATTTATGGCGACGTCGCGACGCTTCCCGGTGCCAAACCGCCCCGAGGACGGGCCCACCCTTTTAGAGCTTATCGAACCTCGCGATATTAAAATATCCACCGTTGTCTCTACAGATTCGATAACATTTACGTGTGCATATGTAACCTACTCCGCGTCGCTCCTAGATAACGTACTGCACCTCAACTTATAGTACCACTCGTAAAGTATCTACATTCATGACAGGCGTCGTCATAAATACATCGTCTATAAATACCTGCAAATCTTACCTAATATCTTTTTAAAGTCTCATTGATACCCTCGTTGATAAAACCAGCTCAATGCCTCCTCTGACCATTGAAGAGGAATCGACGCGAGGCTGCAAACAAAGATGGCGGCGCGCGCACAAGATGGCGCCCTCCGATTTTCTCGATCGCGGAATTCGCGAGGCGCGACGTTTTCGAGCCTTGACATGAAAATTCAAGGCGGAGAGTGCGAACCGCCTCGCCGATGTAAACCCGCCGCTAATTGGCCCACGAGCCCTAACGAGTATCGGGCGGTTAATTAATGCGCATATAACCCAATTAGAGCGTTGTAACGTCGCCGTGGTCGTCGTGGCGGTCGTCGTCGCCGCCGCCGCCGCCGCAGTTGGTGTCGGCGACGTCGTTGTCTTCGTCGCCCGACTGGAAATACGCCTCAAGGGGATCAAGCTCCGAGAACGAACCGATACCCGGGTGTTATACATTATGCGCGCCATTTAATCATCATGGCGGACGTATCGGGACTCGGGCTCGAATTAATATTTTAATGGCGGCGAACGAGCGCCGAGGTATTTTCATCAACGACCCTGAACCTTCGCGACGCTAAAACGATCCGTACCATAAATAGGCGGAGAGCGTACGCGCCGTCGAGTCGTTCTCGGCGAGCTTTTCCGCGCGCCGCCATCTTGCTTGGAAAATTACATCCCACGTCTGCCCTCGGCCGCCGCGGATATGGATGATTTTTTCCATTTTCCTCTTTTCGCCGATTCTTAACCTCGAGACACTTGTTGCGTCGACGAGCTTCGCTCTGACTAAAGAAGAAAAAATATTTTTACGGGTCTCGCTTATGAAGCTTTTCTCCGAACTGGGTGCACCGGAGCGTTTGACATTTTACCACGTGAACGTGGAAGCCCTAAGGAAAGTCTCGACTGTCGTGAAATTATATTTTTTTGCTTAAATTTATTTAATATAAAGAATGCTGCTTTTGCATCGCCTTAAAGTCACCGAAACTTGCTCGGCACCTCGCGAGTTCGTTAGTTCAGACGTCGTCGATCTCTTTGCGCTTCCAGACCCCGACGTTTGATCGGTATTGAGAATCGACGATCGATCGTAAATCAGGCGGGATCGGAACCGAAAAGATACGGTCTCTGCGAGCGAAATCGAATCGAACGCCGGCGCTAATGATGCGGATTTATGGGAAGAAAGTGCACCGGGCGCAGCCGACCTCTGCCTCGATGCATCTCTGGGATCCGCAGCATCCTTTGTGCGCCTTCTCACGCGATCTCGCCGACTTCGCCGATAGATCGTTTCCGTTTCCACGACTTCTGGCGATTTCTCGAGGGGGGTCGTAGGTCGAGCCGGGGACCGGATCCGAGGGAACTTCCCGAGGGACTTCTCTTCCCTAGCCCCTCGTCAGGGAAAGGAGTCTCACGTCGATATCTCGTCGTTAACTCGCTCGCAAATCAATTTGGCCGATCGATCGAAGAGGAGCTCCGTTGACTTGGGACATGATGGAAATCTAGTTCGCAATCCTGTTTAGTTACATATTTATTTTTTTTTTTTATTTTCCGTTGATGGCAAACTCGCGCACCACGTCCGGTCTCGTCTGATTCTGGTCTTACTCGAGTAAAGGATGTCACGTCGGTAGGTTTTGAGGTCGCTTACCGAGAAGGGCGCGGCATGAGGTCGAGGGTAAGTGGGCCGTGTGCGTGGTCGTCGGACGAGTTGTCTCAAAGGTGGACTCCGGAAGACGTGAGATCGCGATCTTCGTCGCGGACTCGCTCCTTGGACACTTTCTTTTTACTTCTATACAGGCTGAATCAGATCGCCGAACGCCTTTGTTTTAGGTGGGCGCGACGAAAGGCTCTCCGACCGAGATCTCCGGAATCTCTTCTACCGTACTCTTCTCCGCCAAACAATTATTTCCAACGCACCAGCGAAATTCAAACTTATACTCCCCTTTACTATTTAAATAACGGAAAATTATTTAAAAGACACCCCGGAAGATGCTAAATCACGATCGCACCGTCATCGAGGTGTCCTCTTTTTACTCATATACAGGGTGAGTCAGAACTCTCGAGACCGGTCTTTGTTTTGGTAGAGGTAGAGTCAACGCCGAGAGAGTAGATCGATTGAGTCGAGAATCTCCAAAGAAGCCCAGACGTCGGTTTTTTCGGGTATTACCTCTCCGGTGGTCGATCGGTAGCCTATCGATTTTTTTTTTTTTTAATCTATCCCGGCCTCGTCCCGCGCAATCGGCCTTGCGTAACGGACTACAAAGGGCCGGTTCGCCGATCGGTTCCGGCTCGAAAGCAGACCGTTAACTCATTATCCGTCGCTGATATCGCTCTCGGTTACCGAGGTCTCCCGACTCTCATCGATTGGATCGAGTCGATCGATTTACCTATTTATCCTAACCGAGGCATGCGATGGCTGAAACCACGAATGTTCTTGTCTTTGTCGCGTACATCGGGTGCTTAACGTTTAATGAAATATTAAGATTAATATTTTTCTGAATTGTTAGCCTGGTCCATCGTGGCCTGCCCTTGAGTCCGAGCGAGCAGACGGAGCTCTTCGGCTCGGATCGGTAAAACTCGCGTGCCAATTATACCTCCTCGAGAATCGGGTCGAGCTTCGAGTTTAAAGAGCTCGATATATCCGAGGTCGACGGATCCGAGCCCGCGAGGGCGCGTTTATTATTGCGCCGATCGCCAATAATTGATCGACAATGCCCGAGGCGTCGATCGACCAATCCACCAGATTCCGAGATCGAAGTCGATCCAGGCGCCTCGGGTCCAAATGATCGGCGTTTATTTACCTCGACATCGCCGATCTCCGAGCTCCAGTCGATCCATCCTCTTGATCGATCCTCTCGATCGCAGCCTAGCCGATCGTGAGCTTTCCACTTCGCTCAGAAGGAGCGGCATTGTTTCCGTTTCGCAACGGTGCATCGGCAAAGTGAGCGAGACGATAACAGCTTTCTCGATCGGGCTCGATCGCGAGATCGTTCCAAGGGTTTTGCGGGTTTACAGGTTTGCAGATTTACGGTCTCGTCCCCCCGTCGACCGATCGCTCCACTTTGCAGAGAGCTTCCTGTTGCTCTCGAAACGCGAATTCCCTCTCGGAACTACATCTCGGATAAGAATTCACGATAACCCCCTATTTTTTATTTTTCCCTCTTTCAAGTTTGCCACTTGTGCCTTTCATTGTACATTGTATTGGGTTGTCCAGAAAGTTCGTGCCGATTTTTAATAGGAGGCATTAGGTTACAAAAATCGGAACGAACTTTCCGGACATTCCATTATATAGGATAAAAATGACATCGATAAATCTGAAAAAAAAAAAAAACAATTAGAATAACTGCGAAAACCATTTGTATTTATGTATCTCAGTTTTGATCCACGAGGAATTCTTAAATACAGGAATATTAATTCTTACAAATTTAACACGTCCAAACTTGGCGTTAAGAACTCGGTGGCGTTTCACGTATACACACGTACGTATACAAGTGTGTACATTTGGCGCGAAACTCGGTAGTTTGTCTCAGTATTGACTCTCGGGTTAGTGATAATAGATCTAATTAATTTAAGATAAATTCAATTTAATTCAATTAAATGAAGTAAAATGAAATATTCGAGGGGGGTATCGGAAAGAAGTGCCGGCCGAGTGGCTCGGAGGTACACATCCGAGGGGCAAAGACAAGCGTTGCGTGCCAATACTAAATATGGAGACCCTTCGTCATCTGTCATGACTCCCTCCTCTGGCACTCTGGCCCACGCGCCGTACTATTTTCTGATCATCCGCCGTGGCCGATGGCAGAGCACGCACCAGTCTCTTGGAAACGTGGACCGCCGACTGATCCACGCGCCGTTGATCCGATCCATCGATCCATTGATTGGGCGGTTAGGTGGTCGATTTCGGGATCGATACCCTAGATTTGCCGGAATCCGCGTCCCAGCATCCGGAGACTCGTGGACCGGTGGTTGGTCTGGAGACTGGAATCGATCTTTTGGCACGATCAGCTGATCGAAGCCCCATGACCGCCGATAATGGGTCAGAGTCAGGTTTTCGCTTCGACTGATCCTTCATTTGGAACCTGAAATCCGACAAAAGGGGCTCCATAAAAAGGATCTCGGGGAGATGTGGTCCCGGGGATCGATCTACGCTCTCCTGCTCTCGGCGATCCCCGTGCTCCTCTGGATCGCAAGGCTTTCCAGAAGCAAAAACTGGCCGTCGACCCTCTCCGGGATCGGCGGCCTGACAAGGTACGCAGCATCCGATCACCGGCTCATGTTTCATCCCCCGTGTCGGCTTTTTACTCTCTGACGTCGGCTCTTGGGTCCAATGACGAGCAAGACCAAGACCAAGAATATGGTAGTCCTGGTCTTGATTTCGCGTACTCGAGACTTGGTCTTGGTCTCGCAAAAAGCGCAAGACCGAGATCGGTGCATCATCTTTCATTGTTTGAGTCGCTCGAGTCTTTCTAATATCAGGGCGTTGCTGCGCGAACAGGATGCGGTTTTGCCAGGTGCATCGGATGCCATGGTCTTGGTCTGACAAAAAACGCATCACCGTTCATCACTCCTCGAGTAGCTCGACCCCTTCTGACGTCAGGGAGTCGAGAGCAGGACGTGGTTTTGCCAGATCCATCGCATAGGTTGTTAGGACTGGATATCGGCAGTGTCCCACTTCCCTTTTTCGAGGATCGGAATTTGCTGATGACCGGGTTATGCGGTACGTGAAGAGCCCCGGGGGATCCCTCGCGGTGACGTCGAGACGTCGCGGCGCCGCCGTCGGCGCGACCGATGGTCTGACGGTGTCCTCGAGGTCTCGCCTCGTCGGCGTTCCCTCCTTTCGGGATGCACCGATGACGTGGTTCGGTGCATAATTGCATCGCGAATCGTCGAGTTCGCCTCCGAGCTGCGAGTCGCGATTTTCGCACTTGGCGCGACTCACCATACGATCGGCCCGTCCTCGAAAATTAATGAATTAAATTTAAAAAATCGACGCTTGACCTTATAGAGAAATAAAAGACGCAGGTTTCGATTTTTTCTTCAATGGAGAAAATTCCCATTGCCAACGAAGTACCGCGATTTCGGTGACAGGTCGGGAGTCGTTCGGTTTTTGCTCGAATCGGGTCCGATTCGAGCTCGCCGAGACCTGCAAGGTCTCCCTCGACTCGTACTTTTCACATTCCTCGTCATTCTCGCGACCAAGGACGACCGCTCGAGGAGCAAAGCCGAGTCGAGTCGAGTCGGGTCGGGCCGAGTAGCTCGACTCGAGCCAGACTCGAGCGGCTCGAGCTCGACCGGTCTATCGAGGGCGTCGATCGGTCTAGCTAATTATTTGCAAATTCCCTCCTCGGATATCGGTCGATCGCGAATATACGCGCCCCTTCCTGCGCATCCTCTCTACCCTTTCACAATTTGTCGAGAGAAAATCTGCGACGCTCAATTTTTATACCGAATTTTTCCCAACTTTGTTGTTACCGATGCCGCGTTTCTCCCCGCGCTCCTCTTCCCGTTCTCGCATTCGTATGTTACCCAAGCGAAGTACTTTGCTCCGGACACTTCGGTCAGCAGTTATCGTTATCGTCGTCCTTATCACTCCGCAAGGCTCGGTCTCCGTTTCGCCGAGATTTATCCCCCTTTCGAAGCATGCCGCGGTTTCCGGATGCGGAAGCGGCACGCAAATCGCTCCGAGGAAGTTTATGCCCTGCATTTTGATGGCGGTCTCGGTTCGACCTGTACAATGCACGTTGATATGTAGTTTCGGGGTGGCTGAATTGAATGCACCTCGGTACTTATAAATTTTATCTTGACATGACGCGCCGACGTTAATCCCGCGTGTTCTATCCGCGATGAAACGAGGGTTTTAAACCTTCGCGCGGGAAAACAAGATTTGTGATAAAGGATTAAATTCTTGCACATGTGCTGCGGCGCGTGAAGTCGTACAACTGTATTACCTCCCACATCCATAAATAGTCGATTACATACCGCGTAAGGTATCGATACTATTTTCACCCGGAATACCGCGCTGCGGTTTCCCTTCGACATCGATTCCACTGCACCTAAGTTCGACAAGGCGGCTTCGTCAAAGAGCGAGTCGGCTTGCGAAATGATTTCACGCTGAGGTCGACCTCGATTGCGCGAATCGGATTAACTAATATCTTGCAAGATTTTACGGATCGATTTCTACCCTGTTAAATGTCCCCGCGAAATACAGCAAATAGGGGGCGAAGTTTCTTCAAGCCGGAATATTTCTAATTTCATCCACAATAGCTTAATATACGAATTATGCAAATTTCAGAAAGGATACTAAACTTCAAAATTTTCTTTATACCCATTTTCGATCACGTTTATTCGATTTTTTGGGCAGTATGAGCTGTCGGACATCCTATACGAAAACTAGGATATTTTTGTACGTCGATTTTTATGACGCTGTTTTTTATCTTAAGCAAAGCGCTTTAGTGCTTAATTAAGTTTTTTAATAATGTTCAGCTGTCTGGGGGATTTATTGATTATACGTGCTATTTTATTATTCTCCTTTTCAATTTGAGCTTTCCTTGATTTCCTGGTTTCCTGGTTTCAGGTCGGCGCTGCAGACCTTGCACAAGGTGTCGAGCAAGGCTCGCGAGCACAATTACTTCCTCGGCGGATTGTCGCACGATTGGGTCAGCTACTATGAGCAGCGCATCGAGAGCGATCGCTCCTGCCTCAACGAATGGCACGCGATGGACAACCTCGAGTCCAGAAGACCACCTTCGCCCGACAGCGTGCGCAACAAGTGAGCAGATCTCGCGCTTAAAAGGCCTTCAAACATACCTCTCCCAAGAGTATCCATAAACACAGCATTAAAAACAAGCCAATCAAATCGCCGAACATAAAGTAGAATATAAAAAATAAGTAGAAAAAATTGAATAAATAAGCCGTCGAAAAACTTCCATACCTTTGGGATTTTTATGGCCATACAAATTATATACATGATACAGTGTGTATATACATATTTTTTTAAACTTTAATATAGACCATTGATGCAGCTTTTAATTCCCGCTCCTACCACGTACCGCTACCATCCTTTGTTATACCTATGTTTTTAATTAATTGTTGCTAATGTGTTTATGGGTACTTTAATTATATGTGAAGGTTGAAACTTGTTACCTCTAATAACAGTGACCGCGGGCAAAATAGTAAGAATTGGCGTTTTGTTGGATTTTCTAGGTAAAGTTTCTAGAGCAGTTTTTAATTTTACACTCGTACGAGATATCTGTGAAGTCCTTTATCGACATTTCGAGCCGATCGAACCCCGACCTACCCTCCATCGGCTCCGATACGACGCGTTCACTCCCGAAGGGGTGCGAGTGCCAATTGTGACGGCCTTTGTGACGCGCCGCCTCCATGAGTGCGCTTTTCCGAAACCTGTTGAGTCGAGAAAGGTTTGCCGAGTATGGGGACGGAAGTGATTTTCAGAAATAAGTGGGAAATCGGGGAAGGAATGACTTCGATTTAGCTATCAGGGGTTATTAAGTGCGCCTCGCGCGAAACCTGTTGAGCCGAGAATAGAGCTCGTGTCAGATGGAAGTGATTTTCAGAAACGGCGGAAACGATGTGGTTTTGACGGGCTCGATGGGAATTATTAAACGCTTTCGGAAACCTGTTGAGGGGGAAACTAGGGAAACTAGAATTTATCGAGCAAGAGCGGATGTGGTTTCCGGAAATGGGAAAACGGGAACGGCACATTGGGGAATTTCGAGGCTAGGGGTATAAATCGTTGAAAAGGATCCTGGAATGGTCATGGTTTATGGTCCTTTCTGGTCCTTTCTGGGTAAGGGGCACTTGTATTGTGTTCTCGGAGAGACGAATCCACGGCTTTTGTATGGCCTGGCACGGGTGCATTTTTCGGGGTGGATTCTTCGAGAAACAGCTGGTCGAGCCGATGCCGAATTGGCCTGGTAGCCTGCCAACTTTGTTGGAGCTTTGTTGACGTATCTGGCTCGAGCCAGCTTATGTCCACGCACAAATAGAGCATAACTTTATACTTGTCCTTCAATTATTTCCAACTTGCGCGACCGGTGCCGTTCGATCTCTATCGGATAATTTTATACCCTGGTTCGAACTCTCCTGCCCATTTTTCCGATTTCCTGGATCCTCCGGGCGAATTTGACATTTTTCGTTGATTTTCCAGGCCTAGAGAAAGGGACGAGACGGAGCGAGTGATTCGGTCGACCCTGAAGGAGATCATGATGTCGGTGGACCTCGACGAGGTGACCTCGAAGTACATCCGAGGACGCCTCGAGGAGGACCTGGACATGGACCTAGGGGAATTCAAGCCCTTCATCGACCAGGAGATGCTCACCATCCTGGGGCAAATGGACGCCCCTACGGAAATCTTCGACCATGTTTACCTTGGGAGCGAGTGGAATGCCAGTAACCTGGAGGAGCTGCAGAAGAACGGGTAAGACTAGACCTTTTTTACCTACTGGAGTTGGCACAAGCCTCGCACTTGGTTTCTTCTCTTTGGGGCTCCTGGACGAAAACCTGAAAAACCCGTCCAAATTCGGATTAGCTGCTAGGGAGAATTTTTACGCTGAAGAGTGACCCTGAAGGGAGACGCTTTGCACCTAAGTCACTCAATTTGGGGCTAGGTAATTCATCAAGGTTTTTTCATTTATCTCTTCCAGGGTGAGGCATATCTTGAACGTGACGAGGGAGATTGACAACTTCTTCCCCGGCATGTTCAACTACCTGAACGTCCGAGTGTACGACGACGAGAAGACGGACTTGCTGAAGCACTGGGACGACACCTTCAAGTACATAACGAAGGCGAAGAAGGAGGGCTCGAAGGTCCTGGTCCACTGCAAGATGGGAGTCTCGAGGTCGGCCTCGGTGGTGATCGCCTACGCCATGAAGGCCTACAACTGGGACTTCTCCCAAGCCTGGAAGCACGTAAAGGAGAAGCGCAACTGCATCAAGCCGAACAACAGCTTCCTGCTGCAGCTGGAGACCTACCAAGGCATCCTCGATGCGATGAAGAACAAGGAGAAGCTGCAGAGGTCCAAGTCGGACACGAATCTCAAGTCGCCGACCCTGACGAAGGACCGTACGAAAAAGGAGGAGAAGTCGGACGGGCCTGAAAGCAGTCTCCTGGAGGTATCAGGTGCCGAGCTCAAAAGGAACGGCCAGAGGCCTAAAAGCTGGTCGCCTAATGCCGAAATGGCGGAGAACGCTCTGCCCCCTGGTAAGAATTTCCTCTTTACCGTTAAAAAAGAACCAAGCAATTTTTTCTTCATTTTTCCCACTATCAAGAGAGTCCAATTTTGGATTTTTCCAGCCCCACTCTCACAGTCGTTGGAGAGTCTCGACAAGGCTGGAAGTTCCGAAATCACCCGAGAGGAGTTGCTGCGAGGCTCGAATCCGACGAAGCAGGGCGGCGAGCAGGAGGCCAGGAACGTGCTGATGCCCTGCGACAACGGCGAGTCATACAGCGTGTCCCAGAACCAGATCGTCCACCTGCCAGGACCCGATACTCCAAGCGTGAAGCACCGCGTCAGCAAACTGGAGCCCCAGGGTCCTCGAAGAAAGGGCTTGGTGCTGAATTTAACGAACCAGTTCGAAGCAGCCACCAGCAAGCCCTCGTCCCCAGGATCGGACACTGACTCGAAACCTCTGCCGTTACCTCAGAGTCCTGTAGCGGGTGATAAGCCGGTTTCGAACGGGATAGGGTGTTCCTCCCTGGAGGAGCGGTGTCGAGACGACTCCCAGGGTCAGCGAGCACCGAAGCAGTTGACAGCCGTTTTGTTGAAGCAAGAGGTCTGGGACCCCGGGGACCAGACCTACGAGAAGGAGACCGCGCTGACCGATAAGCCTGATACCCTTGACAATAGTGAATGTCTAGTCTGGACTGCCTCGGCAGAAGCTAAATGTACTAACGTGAGACCTAGTGTTAATAGTACTAACGGTAGTATCGTAGGGAGCGCCGAGAGTGACTGTATAGGAGGCGCGTCAAGATCGTTGACAGCCAGCGGGGCCATGGCAGCCACGACTGCGATCGTCACAACGGCGACCGGAACCATAACAACGGCGACGGGAACCATAGCAACGGCGACGGGAACCATAGCAACGGCGACCGGAACCATAGCAACGGCCACCGGAACCATAGCAACGGCGACTGGAACTATAGCAACGACGACCGGGTCCGTTATGACGATGACGGCGACAACCGTTTATCCTGGGACGCTCAACAGGAGGAACAGGAAAGACGGAGACCCTTTTAGCGCTCAGTTAGACAGAGTTTTTGACAGGGAGGAGAGGAGGGGCGAACCTAGTCGGGACTTGCCTAGTCGACAAAGTTCCTGGAGCAGTTACGACAGCGCGGTCGGCCTGGACAACAATTCAGTTCACAGCTCTTGGGCTACCCTACCTTCGAGGAACAGTTCCTGGGGGTCCTACGACATGCGACCCACCGATCCCCTTGGATCTAGCGGGCTTTTCCCCTATGACAGGGAGGAGATACCTTGGCATCCTGGCACCGTCAAGCGCACCAAGCAGAAGCTGGAAGAAGGCACCACCACTGGAACCGTCAAGAGGGTGTGCACGCAGCTTTCGGAACCTGAAGAGAAAGCGGACAGGCTGAATGACCAAGACGACGTTCCCGTGGAGGCCTACAATCAGGTAATTTTCACATACACAGAATAATCTCGCCTAATACTACAAATGGTACCTTAATTTGTGGGCACCATAAATCGGTAATCGTACGTTAATCCTTGATTTTCTACGACCAGGTACTACTGCACTATACGCCATCGCCGACGCCATGCAGAAGGGATCCCTCCCCTGCTACCGAGTGCATCCCAAAGTCGTCCAGTACAATCCGAGACCCGTTTGGACCCCCTGAAGGAATAGATATAGCCCCATCGCAGTCCACTCGACAACTTGGAAGGCTTTCGACCAGTGCACCGGCACCCTCTTCCCTTTCAGAAACGGATCTACCGGTGTCCCTTCGCAGCTGCCGCTCCGAGAGCGAGACTTCATCCCCCTGCGTGGTGAACACGCCCCAGTGTCCTTCGGTGAAGCACCATAAAATGGTTCTAGAGAACCTGACGAACAAGCCCGTTCTGAACAAACGATGCCTCTCGGTCGACGACTCTCCAGAGGCCGAGTGCCCTCGAAGCAGCGCGGGGATAGTCAAGAATCTGAAGAAGGAGTTCGAGGCCAAGTCGACGAAGCTGGAGAAGAGTCCGGAGTTGGGGAACGAGGCCGAGGTCTCGTCTCCTCCCAGCAGGTCCAGGAAGGACGGGAAGATCAGGAGTCTGCCCTCCTCGCCGGTGATAGCTCACAACGAGTCCAAAATGAACTCCCAACCACTAGGCGACAACGAGGCGAAGGACAAAGACCCTAGGAGGAAGGAATCCTCGTCGTCGTCCTCGTCTTCGTCCTCGACCGCGTCACTACCCTCGCCTTCCCAGCACCGGCAGGAGAGCGTTGAGGATCTGTCCGTCAGGGTCCTGGTGGGCAAATACGAGGTCGCCAAGCCCGAACCTAGAAAGTCCATCGAAGTTCAGCTTAGACCTCACAGGGACCGAGATTCCCTGGAGATTCACCCCCCTGCCAAGTCGAAGATCGCCCCCGAATTCGCCAGGAGGTCCGCTCCTGTCGCCATGGACCAACATCATCCCAGCCCTTTGTTCTGCGAGGCCAATCCTGAAGCTCCGGGAAGGCCACCTGTCCCCTCTCCCAGCGTCGTGGTTGCCAGTGTCGTCGCCAAGGCAGCTAGTAAAAAGCAACAACAACAACACGGGAGAACTCATCCGTTGACCAGGCTGCAGGTCAGGCCTAGGCACAGCAGTCCCGTTTACAACACCATGTAACGATGCCCTGGATTACGAGTCAATTGAGAGGTATCGACTGTACATTGCCCGATGTCCGAGTTGGCATCTTGGCACTGGTCTCTGAAGGGTACCTGTAGGTACCAACGATGTTGGCCAAGGTGTCTAGGTACAAGTTTAGCGATGCCATTAGACCATTTCTGAGGATATGTACTTGGGTATCTGTAGACGATACGATGGAAGCCTGGGAAATGTCCCATTTTGGAGCAACGTCAGCCAAATCGTGCATGGTACTTGGAACGCGGATTTATTCCAGCGATTGAAGGGAAAATGCACCTTGAAGAGCATATCCTTGGAAGGGTCTCCGGTCTTCGAGTACGTTTCCGCGTCTCTTCGTGTACTTAGAGGTGCGAGGGTACCTATGGGTACCCATGGTGTGAGGGAAGAGCCGAGGAACTCGTGTGATCTCTTTAATGCCAATTCAGTCCGATTTTGGCTGACAGTCAAAGACCGACCTGGAATAAACTCGGGATAGTGGGACACGATCTCTAGAGGGAACATGGGACATCTCCAACGCCGACCCGACAAAAGCGTGGAGTCACTCGTATTCTGCTCAGGGAATGTATAATTTGCTTCCTCGTCGCCGCAACTTCTCCATTGGAGAGCCTTGAATGTCGCGTTGTACATACATGTAAAAATTAAACGAAGTCAGTAGTCAATTTATATAGAGAACACGTGTAGTCTGTGTGACGTATTTGCAAACGCAGGGAGCTTTTTCGCGTTACTTCGTTACTTCGACCCCGAGAAAGAAAAAAGTACCACCTTTGACGCCATGATCCAGAAATTGACCCGATTTGCAGAAGTACTTAAACAGTCTTCGATCTGCGTTCTCTCGCGAGGATTGATAAAAGAGACGCTCCCCAATTTTCCACGATAGTGCTCCGATTTGTAATCCCGTAGCGCGTTCATTGCTCAGCTATCAATACTCAATTCGATAGATGTCCTAATCCTGATCCAGAGGTCGTGGATCTCTCGTCGGATCCTTGGCTCGGTGTCGTCCCCGCTTAGGATGTTAGCAATAAAGAAAAAAAAAATAAAAAGATAGGTCGTCGTTGAAATGAAAAGGCGCATCGTTCGACGAGGACCGATGTTCCTAAGTCATCTCGTCATAATTTAGTGGGCTCGGAATCAAAGATCCTCCAACCTGGGGAGGCCTCCTCGCGAGCGAGCGGAGGACGAGGCGTCGACTTCGATAAAGTCAAACGAAATATTATTAAAATGGGAAAAAGAATTAAAAATGTATTATTAGACCGCAAGAGGGAGGAGAGTGGAGTCGCGTGCGTGGAGCTACCGCAAGAAACGAAGGTGACGAAAGTCAAGAGTCTCTTATTTTCTTTTTTTTTCTCGGGTCTTCCGAGCGAACCCGGGAGCGAGCGCTCAGTTCGGCTGTGAATGTAACATCTGAGCCTCGTCGTGTATCTTTTTTCCCGCCTTCTTTTTTCCCACTTATCACGTCCGGTCTCTCTCTTATCTCTCCCCTTATCGTCCTCCTTTCTTCGACTGAAAGGAGACGTTGACTTTAATGTGCAAGAGACGATACTCTGCGAACCCATCGGACGGAGCTAGGGACTCTGAAACGGAATCGTATTGTGTAAAAAGGACTATTTAGTAACTTATAATGACGCATGTGATTAGAGTGCCGCGAGCTCCTTGAAATCGTCGTCGAGGCTGATTTTAAGGGAAGCGAGCCCGGTTTTTATCATTTTTTTTTTGTTTTCATCTTTTTTTGCAAGAGAGAGAAAGGTGAGGGTCTAGGTGCGCTGATAGGGTTGCGAATCATTTGTCCGGGTGATGATCTTTGAGTGAACGTTGTACCGAGGATAAGGATGTTATCGGCGTTTAGGGATCCCCAAGTCGGCGACCTTTTTCCATGTACTTGCCCTCCTGTAAAGTGGAATTTCCATTCAGAAGCCTTTGCTGCGAATTATTCATGATTTTCAACTACGATAGCGAGGTAGCATGCATATCAAATTGTCCAAGAATGGTCTTTACGTCGCTCCTCGGAACTCCTCAATTTTAGTCCGTTTTTAAAGTATATAAAATCTTGCGGTGTATCAAGTATATAATTACCCAAATGTTTATCGGGATTTTTGAAAAAAGGAAAGCCTGAGAGTGTCCAGATAATGTTCGTCGACTCGGTATCTCTACACGCCTAATTATTATCGTACTCTTTATACACTTCTATTACCAATTAATCGTCGCGTATCGCGTGATCCCCATCCAGGATTCAGTCGAGTATTGCGAAATCGCTCCTCGACGAAGGCCGATTCGTACGAAGTATTCTCGCATGACTCTCTAATGCCAAAAGTACAATTGAACCGAGGGTGCGAGACGAGCACTGGTCAAACAATAAACGAAAATAAGCGAAGAAGCAAATCAACGAGAGAGGAAGGAAACGGAAGGAAATCAATTAAACTAGGTAACGATAAGCCTCCAATGTTCGTGTCTCATAGATATTTTTTCAAACATATCGAGGGTTTGTTGTCACGTCCAGCAGAGTCCGAGGAGAGATCGGGAGATGGAGAGAAAAAAATCGGCTATGTCGCTTTTCCGCGTCCCAGACCAATTTTCTACTATCCCATGATGAGAGCTCGCCATGGAGTGCGACTTCCCATAGACCTCACCACGATGACTATATTTTATTACCGCATGACTTCTCAGACCAAATAGGGACGTCGGTTATGCGTGTAGAAATCGAGCGAGCGAATGGAAGGGACGAAAGGTGAACGATAGCGGACTATCCGTAGACTTTACAAAGGGATAGAAAAATCTAGATTCCTCATACATAGTCGGGACTAACGAGACCTCCTATCTTCGGATGGTGGGAACGATCCAGGCACGCGAAAGTTTGGCTGTTACTATGATTTTCCATCATTTCTCTGCCCGGAATCCCCAATTTGGTCCTGTCTTTACCGAAAACACCCGAGTCGGTGGCGAACCGACGAGCTTAGTTAACTAGCGGTCGAGTAAGTTTGTATTATCACGAATCGATGTGCTCATTTTTAGTACTCTTTCCTGACCCTCGAGAATGTCCCCGCTTGAGTGTGCGTTTAAAGCAAGACGAGAAGCTACTATGTCGCAAAACAAGTGGAAAGCCGTGCGTTGTTCTGTATAAATTTTGTACCATAGTTTGTATTAAATAAAATACTTGTTTATTGCTTGACAGGAAGTCCTTCAATGCGCAATGGAACCCCGATCGGCCCCCTTAATCATCCATCATTTTTCGATGATATATAAAATGTGAGTAATAAAATAGACGTGCAAGTAATCGCAGTCCAACTAGTTTACCTTATCAGCAATGCAAATACGACTAGGGAAAAATCTCGAGCATTCATCCGACGTCTATCTCGTAAATAGTTTTCCCACTGCAAAATGCGATTTTTGGCAACGGAGGAGTGTCGGTAATTTTCGACTTTTTGGCTTTTTTCGTCAACACTGGTCCTATGTCAAGAGCGTAAACGCCTCCAGCCAAGTTTCTCAGTGCACCGATGGTCTGAAAAATTAAGGCAAATGTGAAGGAGACATAAAAACGAGTTGTCGTGCATCGAACTAACTAAATGCGTCCGCAAGTCGACGATTCGTATGAGAGCGGTTTCGGTTCCTCCGCATACTACGAAAACATTGTTCATATATTTGCCACAATAGAGCAGGCTGTTGTAACAATCGGGCTCCAAGGTGTCGATGAGTTTTCCCGAACCGTAGTCCCACAATTGGAGGGGATTATACCTTTGCCAGGCGCAGGTCAAAATCTAGAACAAAATGACGCGTTCGACTCCACGTAAAGGTTCTCGATGGATCCGGAGAAATTTGAAATAATCGTAAACCTCTTTCCCAGTTTTGCTCGTGTCAATGCCATCCCCACAAATGTGCACCCCGGTGATATGACGAGTGGCATAGGGTTGCCTGATGTCCCAAAATTGAATGGTGTCGTCCCAGCCCCCACTAATAATTTCGTGGGCAGATTTAGGGTTGAAGACGGCACAAAAGACTCTTGACCTGTGTCCATTCATCACGTCCGAGGCATCGCTAGGGGAAAAAGGTTGTCCACTACTTAACGGAAAAGCTTTCAATTGAAAGGCTTAATTCTTAGATACCGTGATCAGACCAACCTGGCGTGAAGTATCCGCTCTTGGGTCTTCGTTTCCTCGTCGTATAAGTTCAAATTCGTGTCGTCCCCCACGGTGACGAATTTCGAGAGATAAGGATGATAAGCCAAGCCCAATGTCTGCCTCTTTTCCCGAATCGTATATAGACACTGCCCCGTAGGATAGTGCCAACATTTTACGCATCCAGTCGCATCTACAATTGTGCCCGTAATTATAAAAGTAATCTCCCATTAGGATAAAAATTCCATTCAATCAGAGATATTATTTTGAACGATATCAAGGAAATATTTTGTTAATTTCAAGGATAATTATTTAACTTACGTTGTCATACCTTCCGAATAAATGTTGCGTCTCATTCGTTCGAATTTAATCGAGTCAAATGATCGTTCTTTGAATTGACGAAATATTTCATTGATACCATTCAAAGGAATATTTCTTTGTTTCGATGATATATTTTCTTTTCTCAATGTAGGTAAGAAATGTAAAGCAATTAATTTCTCCCCTACCTCGTGCTTTGTTACGTGAATTTAAATGATGATATCGTGAAGTTACTGTTTCAATTAGAAATGTGACTTCGACAACTTTCGTAATTAATGGGAGGTATTTCCGTGGTCCAGGAATGACTCGAAAATTCTGAAATTCTTTCTTACACGTGGCGGTCAAGGTCTGAGTTATGGGGTGCGATCTGTGGACGGGTCGGTGTTTTATGGAGGTGGCGGGCCCGGGATTTTGGGTCACTTCCGAGTCTTTCAGAGTTGTCACGTGTTCTCCAGAACCAGCTTTGTATAATTTGACGGTGCCATCGGACACTCCTACGGCCAGCGACTCACAAGTCTCCGTGTAGCAAACAGTGAGTATCTCTTGGCCACCCTCGCTGAAATAAAATTCTACTCCCAGTAAGAGTGAAATTCGACGACTTCGTACAATCTGTGTACCTTACATTTGAGAAATGATGCTAATGTCTCCTTCTTTTCGAGGGCCTCCTTGAATTTCGACCACTGTGGACTCTTCGTCGACGGAAGCTCCGGCACCTCGGGAGTAGGCAAAAGACTTCGTCAAGTATGTGCTTTTAGCAGCTTTTGGAGCATTTGCGACAGATGTGTAAGAGTCTAAAGCATCGCCTCGGTGAGTTCTTAATCTCGATGCAGTTCGCTTGTCCATTGCGGATTTATTCCGCAGATATTATACAGATAGATCCACTCCTCGGATTTCTGAATAAAGGTCACATGACTTTTGATAGGGAAGGACGATTTTTTTTTTTTTTTTAACTCACCGGAACTGAATAGATTTTTACTCTAAATTGTTGGATTGTCGGTAATAAATAAAATATAAGATACGCGACCAAGAGAAGGTGGAGACATCTTTTCCTTTGAAAATTGGCGATCGACTATCCATCCTTTCAAATTTAAGCGCAACCCTGTTTTTAACATTTTCCTGGGGAAATTTTGCAATGACGGAAACGTCGTTCATTAGAAAAGTCGATAAATAAGTGACGATCGTTTCGAGTCTTGTGGTCTTGCTCGAGTGGGAAATATATACAGGATGTTGCGAGGATACGGGACTAGTAAAAATACCTTTTTTAAAATCTTAATAAATAGAGTATAATTTGGTAACAACGTGAATAAATTGTTAGATACAGAGATACTGTCAACGATAGCAAAAATACTCAAGTTCATAACAAATTATGTACAAGTACGTACAGGTAACTTTCTCGCGTATAAAAATATCAATGTCATTTATCTATATTGTAGAGGGAATACATAATACATAAGGAAATGGAGACTTTTCTTTTATAAATCTGTTCTTAATTTTCAAGTTTAATTTTTGTTCGTTTAGATTTGTGCTTAAATGCAGAGGAAATGTTCTTTAGTTTAGGAACTTGAACTTTCGCTCGTAACGATTGGAGTAACGATCCTGAACTTGTCGACAGTTTCTTGTCCGATGGGTCAGACGTAGAATTCAGAAGCTCCGACAAATCAGGGGCTTCTTGAATGCGGGTTGGTTTAGAAGAATCACTTGATTTTATATTGTTTTCTGGTTTTTTAATATCATCGGCATTCTTTGTAATAAAAGTTCTCGATTCATCAAGAGTAGCATTTAATTTATTTTCTTCCTTGGCTGTAATGTCTTGAGAATTTTCAACAACTTGTGCAGTTTGGAACTGCAAACCTTGGGATTCGGCAGTGATGTGCCTGTAAAAGGGATGTTAATGTTAAAACTTAATAACACCAAAAAATTAAAGAAATTATTAAATTACCCTTTCCGACAACCATCTGCAGCAGTTGGGGTCATTACGGAATCACGTAGTCTACCCCAAAAGTCATATAGTCCGATTCTACTATAATCCAAAATGAAAGTATAACTCAACTGTGGTGGCAACTGACATTTCTGATATAAACACGGTATCACTTTCCTTTGACGTTTATCTGGAGAAATACATAATTTGTAATATCAATTAAAAGAAAATGTGTATCTATTTTCTTACCTATTCCTAGTGCTTGGGCATAGTTTAAAAAGAATTTGTTAGCAGGACTTTTCACAAAATTGGGTGAAATGATAACTATTAACCGATTACACCGTTCTGATATTAACTGCATAACAGCTTCATGTTCAAATGTAATTCCACCTACGAGATCTCTATCTTTGATACATAACTGAAACAATAGCATTATAAAGAGGCTGTTAAAAGTAAAAGAAATTTGTAAATAGTTGGAACATAATTTCAATACCTTTAGACCATATTCTTTTTCTAATTTTTCTATCATCTGTTTAGCAAAGTCCAAGTCTTCATCTGCATACAAAAGGAATGCATCATAATATTGTTCATCTAGACCTTGTCTAAATCTGTACAGATCATCTAAAATGGAAAACATGTTGAATTTAAATGATTTCCTACTGTGCATAAAATTATATTCCTTTACATTTATGTAAAATATTCACCTATTGTTAGCATTTGTCTGTCAATACTAGGCTGAATGATCTCTGCCGAAGTCTTGGACTTTTCCAACTCGTGTGCATACACTTCGGCATCTTTTTCTACGATTTAATAAACTTTATTGACTACAATTACCAGCAGCTTTAAGAGTCACAAATTATTTCAAAATGAATTACCAATCAGATCTTCAGTATCGTCAACTACATCCCACCGGTCTAATGTCTCCAGCATTGTCCTAAGGTCTTTGACCATAAATGATTTAAAATCCTTCCGCATAATGGAAAGAATATGCCCTGTCGGATCAGGTTCCGACATGATAGACGGCATTATTTCGCCATCCAAATTCAATAAATGCGCAAGACCTCTCCAATCCCTAAATCGTATGACAAGTAGGAAAACAGAATTGTCAAATACAAATATTTAATTTCATTTCTTAACAATATTGCAAAAATTAATAATTTTAAAAGTCAAATACATATTTACCTTGGAAAACCATCTTCGGTTGGGATGATTTTCAGAGGATTCAACAAAGTGGACATTAACCTCATAGTTGCATCGGTGAGGCCTACTAGTGGCATTGATAGTGGATCCATATTGTAAAAATGTACAAAAATTATACACTATTTCTTACATGTTCATATAACAAAGTTTACATATTCTCTGATATGGAAAGGTAATACATTTGCTGACATTTGCTCTTATCCACACCTTCCTAACCTCTAAACTGATAGGAGGTCTCATGACGTTTAACGTCAGAACAGACCTGCATTAATAGTTAATAATTAAAAATTGGACTGCACCAATTAGATTGCACCATCGATGAATTTGAACATCTCCTAGAAGCTCAATGCTTGGTTAAAATGCGTTGTATCGAAAATAGTTCCGATTCACGCCGCTTGATCGTGCCAATGTCCACAAAAAAGAGTTTTGACAGGTTTTGACTGGTTTTTATGGGACATCTGTGAGGGAGGTGAGGAAGCGGACAGGTTAAAATAGGGCGTTTATTACGTATTTTTGACGAACGCGCTCACTTCTCGTACTTTCATTTCACATGGGTTTATTTGTCGAATTAACTAACGTACGAAACCAGAGGGCAGCACAGGATGCGATCGTACGACCCTGCCCGTGAGCAATCTCCCAACTCATCTCTATTCTTCTTCTATTGGTTACTAGATTTTGGATCGAGTAAATCCGAACAAACCTGATGTATTTTGGAACACGAGCAATGGCGCCAAAGTGACTTTAACCGTTCGGAGATCCTCCCGACGCAGCTCGTTTACCGCCTTAGCTTGTGTCGGCTAGAGTTCTGTGCGTCTCGACGAATCGCAACAAACTTTCGAACGTTAACTAAAAGAGCGCTATTATTTCCTAAGTCGCCAGAATCAGTGCAGACGATGGTTGCTAGAAATTAATTAAGAAGGTAAACGAAAAGAAGAAGACTCGCATACTGGCGGTGATGCTGCGGTAGTTACTGGGATATGCCAATCGCCATTTCTGAAGTCAAGCATCGCGCTGTGGCCGTAGAATCCCGTCATATTTTTTTGGGGCGCCACGAAATTCTACCTCCCTTAGCGTGGCTTTAAATGACTCCAAAAAATCTTTAGAATTTTGGTCCTTCATTCCCTCTGTTGTGTGTTGTCGTTTTCATAGCGTTTACCAAAGGTATGTTAAAGTTTTCGAAAGGCAGATGTCCATACAAAATTGGCGTCCCCTCGCTCACTCGGCCAATTAGATGGCGGCATTTTCCCGCCATACTTTACGGATATTCGTAGGGTAGGCGATTATTTACATTTTTTTATTCTTTGACAGTTCTGTCCAAGTTGAAACATAGTAGACAAGCTATACAACGATGACAATGAAAAGGTCTTGAGACCTATCTGAACCTGTGTCCAACAGTAGATCCTGCTGATGTCTTGGAACTTTTTAGCTTCGATTTATTTAAACTTTTTCTTTGCGTTCAAGTTTTTTTAACTCGGTTGTGTGATTAGGTGTGCTTGTCATACCTTTATTCTAGTACTTATGATAAGGTGGCAAGTCATTAATGGTAGTATAGATGGTGTATTCTCTTTTTCATAGACGCTTAGGAAGCACATACAGAAAAATGAGTACAGAAGTAGAAAATGGTGGTGCGGGAGATGGGCCGAAAAAGAAAACCATTGAGGGTATTTACCAGAAAAAGTCACAACTGGAGCATATCTTATTACGACCTGATACATACATTGGGTCCGTTGAATTCGTTCAGGAAATGATGTGGGTCTATGATGCCGAAAAGGAAATGATGGTGCAACAAGAAATCAAATATGTTCCAGGATTGTACAAAATATTTGATGAAATCCTTGTAAATGCTGCAGATAACAAGCAGCGGGATGCAAAAATGGACACAATTAAAATAGACATAGATGCGTAAGTTGATATAACATTAGAATTCATGGGCATTTGTTGATAAAAAAAATCATACCTTTTGTGACACGTTTTACAGAGAAAACAATACCATATCTGTATGGAACAATGGGAAAGGCATACCAGTTGTGATTCATAAAGATGAAAAGATGTATGTACCCACCATGATTTTTGGACATCTATTAACATCATCCAATTATAATGATGAAGAAGAAAAGGTAACGGGAGGCCGAAATGGATATGGTGCCAAATTGTGCAACATCTTCAGTCATCGTTTCACTGTTGAAACTGCTTCAAAAGAATATAAAAAATGTCTTAAACAAGTGAGTATTCGTTATGTTGTTACAAATTAGTGGTTAATCATATAATTAACTTTAATTCATTTAACAGACATGGGGAAATAATATGGGAAAAGCCAGCGAAGCCAGAATCAAAGAGTTTTGTGGGGAAGATTTTACAAAAGTGACTTTCTCACCGGATTTATCCAAATTCAAAATGCAGAGTCTTGATAAGGATATTGTATCATTGATGTCTCGACGAGCATTTGATGTTGCTGCCTCCACAAGAGGGGTCAAAGTTTACCTTAATGGAGCCAAAGTGCCAGTCAAAAGTTTTAAAGATTATGTAGACCTTTATATTAAAGGAAAGGAAGATGATATAGGGAATCCATTAAAAATTACTTATGAGAATTGTGGACCTCGTTGGGAGGTTGCAGTGGCGTTATCAGACAAAGGATTTCAACAAATGTCATTTGTGAACAGTATTGCAACCACTAAGGTATTTAAATTTTATATTTACGTATAGAAAAATAGTGAGCATTATACAAATAACTGAATTTATAAACAGGGTGGTCGTCATGTTGATCATGTCACCGATTTGATAGTGAAGCAACTGATAGAAACACTAAAAAAGAAGAACAAGGGAGGAATTGCCATTAAACCGTTTCAAATAAAAAATCATCTCTGGATATTTGTTAATTGTCTAATCAACAATCCAACATTCGATTCTCAGACCAAAGAAAATATGACACTTCAAGCAAAAAGTTTTGGCTCAAAGTGTACCCTAAGCGAAAAGTTTATTCAAAACGTAAGTAGAATAATGGTCGTTATGTATGTTGTCGGTATACACGTTTCCAATAAACTTTGACTGCATATCAGGTCACAAAAACTGGCATTGTTGAGGCAGTGCTATCATGGGCCAAGTTTAAAGCTGACAGTCAACTTCAAAAACTGGGACCCAAATCAAAACAAAGAAAGTTGCAAGGAATGCCCAAACTTGAGGATGCTAATGATGCTGGTACAGGAAGATCACTGGATTGTACCCTCATTTTAACAGAGGGAGATTCAGCCAAGACAATGGCTGTATCTGGTATCGCTTCAATTGGCAGAGACAAATATGGTATATTTCCTTTAAGAGGTAAGTCCTTTAAATTTCATTTTTAGTGATATCTACTTGGACGTCGACTTAACAGTGATAATATGTTAGGTAAAATTCTAAATGTACGAGAAGCCACACATAAACAAATTCTGGAGAATGCAGAAATTAACAATCTTATTAAAATTTTGGGGCTTCAGTATAAGAAGAAGTATGAGACTCGAGATGACCTTAAAACGTTGCGCTACGGAAAAGTGATGATCATGACAGATCAGGATCAGGTTATTATTTTCCAACTATCCAGTATTTTTTAATAATGTCTTAACAATGCTCTTAACTGACGTTTTGCAATATGTAGGATGGTTCGCATATAAAAGGACTGCTGATTAATTTTATCCACCATAATTGGCCGTCACTTCTCAAACTGAATTTCGTTGAAGAGTTCATCACACCAATTGTGAAGGCCACGAAGGGCAACAAAGTGTTATCATTTTTCTCGTTACCTGAATTTGAGATGTGGAAAAAGGAGACCGAAAACTTCCATACTTACAAAATCAAGTACTACAAAGGTTTTTATTTTTATTTCTCCTTTGATACGTTGACGACAACTAGTAGAAAGGTATCGGTTTTAATTTATACAATCAATAACTTTTTAAAATTTCATACTCTTGGGTGAATTTATAGGTTTGGGTACTTCTTCCGCCAAAGAGGCAAAAGAGTACTTTGAAAACATGGCTCGTCACAGAATTAGATTTAGATACGATGGTGAACAGGATGATCAAAATATCATTATGGCGTTCAGTAAGAAATGCGTTGATCAACGCAAGGATTGGCTAACGAATCATATGAATGAAACAAAGCGTCGGAAAGAGATAGGTCTCAGTGAAAAATTCTTATATGAAAAAGATACGCGAGCTGTCACCTTTTCAGACTTCGTTAACGTGGAGCTAGTATTGTATAGTAATTACGACAACGTGCGATCCATTCCCAACATGATGGACGGTTTCAAACCTGGTCAGAGAAAAGTAATGTACACGTGCTTTAAGCGTAATGACAAACGTGAAGTCAAGGTAGCGCAGCTATCTGGTTCAGTTGCCGAACATTCCGCGTATCACCATGGCGAAGTGTCCCTTATGGCAACCATCATTAATTTAGCACAAAACTTCGTCGGTAGCAACAACATAAATTTGCTTCAACCCAATGGTCAATTCGGTACGAGGCTTTGTGGTGGTAAAGACTCCGCGAGCCCTCGTTACATTTTTACAATGCTCAGGTAAGTCTCTTATGTTAATTTTCATAACTTCCATGATTTAAATCGATAATATTTAAAACGTAGTAAATAACGGTCTGTTTTAATTCTAGCCCATTGGCGAGGTTCATCTTTCACAAACATGATGAACCGCTCTTGAAGTATGAATATGATGACAACCAGAGAATTGAGCCCGTTTATTACATACCTGTTATACCGATGGTTTTGGTAAATGGTGCCGATGGTATTGGAACTGGTTGGATGACGAAAATTCCTAATTATAATCCTAGAGAAATTATTGAAAATATTTTCCGCATGATGGACGGTGCAGATCCTAAGCCAATGGTAACTATAACATATAGTACCATTATAATTGTGTACCATTAGAATTGCACCATTAGAACCTTCCTTAAATTGTCATTCGAAATTTTTTGGGTAGATTCCATTTTATAAGAACTTCAAAGGGGCCATAGAGAGCTGTGGAGACTATAGATATGTTATTAGCGGCGAAATATCAGTCATAGGACCAGATAAGCTGGAAATAACTGAGCTGCCAGTTGGTACGTGGACTCAAGCATACAAAGAACAGGTTTTGGAACCGATGTTACATGGCTCCGACAAAACACCTGCACTCATTACGTAAGTGTACTTTCCAAGCCTTCCATTCTGCAGAAAATGTATCCTGGATGTTCTAATTATTTTCTTTTCGTTTCAGCGATTACAAAGAATACAACACAGATACCGATGTACACTTCATAGTGATGTTGAATCGTGACAAGTTGTTGGAACTCGAAAGAGATGGCCTTCATAAAGCTTTTAAGCTCCAGACAACCATGACGATCACATCAATGGTAAGAATGACAATTGTACACGTACATATTTCCTATAATTATTAATGTAATAAAAAAGAGTGATCTAACCAGCTTGATTAAATTCTAGTGTGCCTTCGACGAGAATTTATGTCTCCAAAAATACGACAGCGTGATGCAGATATTGAAGGGCTTTTACCAGTACAGACTAAACGCATATCAGAGGCGAAAAGACTATTTGGAAGGAATCTTGGAGGCTGAGGCTGCGAAGTTATCCAACCAAGCGAGGTTCATCATCGAGAAATGTGACGGCGATCTGGTGGTGGAAAACAAGAAGAAGAAGGACATAATAGCTGAATTGGTTAGGCGTAACTACGATTCCGATCCGGTGGTCGCGTGGAAGCTGAGGCAAAACAGACAAGAAGTACTGGTGAGTAGATGATATCCTCTTGCGATCTACTTGAAAAAAAAAAATTCCTATTAACAAATGAGCATAAGAAACGGACAGTTCGTACTAAAGTTAAGTGGTAATTGTCCTCGCTACGCAAGGAGTATCAAGTAAGTGAGCGACAGTGCCCCTCCGGTAGTCCCCGAATTAATTATATCCTTCGTCGTGAACCTTTTGTATTACATTTGTCGCTAATTCTCGCGACAAAGGGATTGTCTCTGATTACCGGCCAGTTAAACTCGACAGGAGGAAGTCGCCGAGAACGTCGACGAAGAGCCCGTCGAGGTGGCAGCGATCGAAAGGGAGAACTTCGATTATCTGCTGGGTATGACCATGTGGAATCTAACGAAGGAAAGGAAGGATGAGCTCTTGCGTCAACGGGATGACAAGATGGTCGAGCTGAAAAAGTTGCAGAACCGAACGCCCGTATCCCTGTGGAAGGAAGACCTTGATAATCTACTGACTGAATTGAATAAGGTATTGTCTTCCACCGTCCTTGTAATGGGAGATACGTAAAATATTTAATTTAAGTTTCCACGTGTCTAACGTATCTTAACGCTTTTAGATTGAAGAGAAAGAAAGGAAAGATGAGCAAAAGTCCCGGCAAAATGCGAAGAAGCCTCCGCCTAAGTTCTACAAAGGGGAAGACACGCGACGCATTGCTCCGATCATAGACACGGATCTGAAGAAGAAAATCGAAAAGGCGGATATCGTCGCGAAAGATAAGAAGGACGGGATAAAGAAGCAGCCGAAGGTGAGGACAAGAAAATAAATGGACGAGTCTGAAAAAGAATCTGTAAATGACACATAATGGTATTTACAGATCAAGAAGGAACCGTTGGAAGAAAAGGACGAATTCGATGCTTTGGTTGACTCTAACGCAAAGTCTCTTGAGGACAGACTTGGATCGTCGATAGAGAAGACGGAAAAGAAATCTGGTAAAAAGGGTAAGTACATTGTTAGAAGTTCTCTACTGCCAATGCAGGTTATCTCGATTATATTCATAGTTAAATTGGATGTCCCGCCGAATATATGATGTATTTATTAATAGGTTTAAAACAAACGACGTTACAATTTAAACCAGTGAAGAAAGAAAAGAAACCGGACGATATAGATTTTGGAAGCATTTCGCCGCCACCTCCACGAACGCCGCGAAGAGCTGCCGCAGGTATAATTCATGTAAAATTTCATTATCTAAAGGGAAAAAAAATTAAAGAATGACTCATTTCATGGCCTAACAACAGTAGAATGTCAAACCGTGTTAACTGGATTTTCATTGCAGCTAATAAAAAATACACGCAGAGCAGTGATGAATCGGATGATGGCGAAGGCCCACATTTGCTCTCGTCAGACTCAGAAGTCGAGTAAGTTATTTTGGCATCGACATATAAACGTGGACGCTAAAATCGTTGACATGTGTTGCAGGATGAAAGATATTTCGGGAACACCAAATTTAAATACAACCACGACTACGACCAACAGCGATTCCGATGACAATTTTAAAGAAGACAAAAAGCCACCTCCAGCAAAACGTACGTAAAACATTCCATAGCATTGCCTTTGATTTTGTCTATTATTCTAAGCTACCTAATATTTACATGCTATATATACCAACAGCAAGTTCAGAAGAGCTCTTCGACTCGTTAATAAGCAATTCCCCATCGAAGCCAGTCAATCCAATATCATTTACATCGGAAGAGGACTCCCCGATAAAACCTTTGCCACCTAAAAAAGGTAGAGTCTATCATATCAAGCTTCGGATTTTTCCTGATTTTAATACTTCTCTTTCTGTAGCTCCCGCTAAAAAGAAAGCCGAAAATGGTGGAGCTAAGGGAGGAGTGAAGAAGGCAAAGAAGAAGGTCATATCGTCAGAATCGGAATCTGACGACATGTTTTCGACCAAGACGAATGTTGTGAGTAGTTATTTAATAAAATAGAGGAGCATTAAATCTGCAAGTCTGTCAAGGTTTAGAGCCATACTCTGATTTTGTTTTTTCAGGTAAAGAAGCGAAAGAAGAAATCCGAGTCCGACAACGATTCCGACGTGGCCATTGTCACGCCACCTAGGAAAGTCGGTCGTGCAAGGAAGCCAGTATCTTATACAATCAAATCCGACGACGAGGATGATTCCGACTGAGAAAGGAGTCCACAAGATCGAGAGCACTGATGACAATGTGCTCGTATAAAAATCGACAGAGTCGTCGGGTTAGATCGATCAACGCAAGCCGAGCGATCAATGATCCCTCAGCATTCGACATCGGAATCAAGTGGATTTCTCATTCCATTGAGATTTAAAAAAAAAAGTGTTATCAGTCGTTCTGACTCCGGTGAAATGGAGGACTCGTGGAACTCATAAAGCATTCGATCACCAATATTGAAGATCTGATTCTGATCGGAGCACCAAACGGTCTCTCCGTATTCTTTTTTTATATATATATATATATATTACTTCGTATACATACACGTACTGTGGTTGTACTTGTGGTAGTTAGAATCCTCGGGGGCGTGGAATTGTATAAATTCATCGGCACACGTTTTATACGAAGAGACATTTACGTGAATAACGCGTTACCGACGACGAGCATCAAATTCTTGTAGGGAAACGTTTTAATGTTATTACCTGATTTCGATAACTCAGGGTTTTGCGAGTTTTGTCTGAGTTTTATATAGAAGACTGTCCGGCGGATTCGTTTATCAAAGAACACTGTGTCATTTCAGAATTAGCGTAAGCCGGATACACGCGTGACCTTCGTTTGTAAATGTCACAAAAGTGATATAGGATTAGAGAAAGAAAACTCGCAAGTGTTGCGATTACATAATATGCGAATTCTTGGTACAATCGTATTTGAAAATGTTCGGAGTCCCGTTAATAAACTTAGACGAGACTAACATTGAGGATTCGCGCAGAAAATGATATCGATCAATTATTTATTTAACCACAACGGGCGTTGAAGTACGAGATGCAAAATAGCCTTACTAAGTCTCACGGAACTCGTGTAGTACCGATATAAGATAGCTAGCGATTCGATGACACGAAAGAAACTGCCGTCAATAAAAGCTTGTTTCGAACACGTTCACAGCAGGTCTGAAAGGAGTCCCGAAATGTCTTAACAAACAGATCGATGGCAATCTAAGAATGTGAGTCAACGTAGAATCATTAATTCGAGAAAGAGATCGTATAATTTTTAAATTATGTAAATTGTGTGCTGCTCCATTTTCGTGTAATTAGGGTACTTTGTAAATCGCATTAACGGTATATTATTTTTAGCAAGTAATCTCGGCATATAATTTTGACTATTTGAAACGCTTACGTTAGAATTTTTACTCCTAAGAGGGGCTGAATCGCTCGTTTCGAAACGATCTCCAGGTACTAAAAACGACTTTAGTCACCGAACTGAACGAAATATGCTAAATAAAATTAAAATATACAGAATCTTTCTTTAGTCCATCCGTATCGAAAGAGTTACTACAAATTTCACTTTCTCGGCCGCGCACGTTATTCATATTTTCCACCTGTTAATTAAGCTACCCTACCGCCAAAATCTCGATTTGACTCTTCCTTCTCAGCGATGTTATATTTGAATTTTTCCGATAGTGGCCTCCGCACAAAAATCATCACCTACTGCAAGCAAGGACACGTTATTTGCGGTGAAAAAAAAAAAAATGTCCTCAAAATGAACTAAAACTCGTTATTAACCTCCGCTGTCCGGCATTTTTCCCAACTCGAATTATCCCTTCCCAGAGTATACAATTAACCGTTTAATAAATAACATTGCGGCGCAATCGGTGGAAAAAAGAAAGAGGATAATTACGGCCGCCTCGTTAAACGAATTCACTTTCGGATAGGACCGGGATCAGCTCGAGGGACGACGTGGATGTCTCATTGTCGTACTGTTTTTTCTCTTTCTTTCTTAATTCGTTTTACAATAAATATATACACATGTGTACATTCGCATTGGACATACGCGCGCGTGTACCAGCCGTAGAATTATTGCTGGATGCGAGGTTGAAGGTCGCGTGGAGAGAGAAAGAGAGAGAGGCTCGATTGATCTTTCTCTCCCTCTCTCTGTCTCTCGGGTCTCCCCCGAACGGAACGAGAGATAGACGGGACTAGGGGAAAAGGGGGATCAGTGGGGGTCAATCGATCGATAATCGGTACCGATTACCTATATCTCGAGTAGAAGCGACGGATGCAGTAGACACTGTTCAGACTTGTAATGTATTCTCCTCTGACCACACTTGTTTAGCCAACGAAAGGTCGGTAAGATATCGAGACACGTCATCCCGATATACGTGCTGTGCCCACATCGTACTAACAACTTACACAACATTTTAACAACGTTTCTCTGTCTCTCTCTAGCTCTCTTTCTCTCCATAACGCATTCACCCTCGTTCTCACATCGTCTCTCTCTGTCTATTCTCCCGAAAGCTGCAATTTGTTGACAGACGCGCGCGCGCGCGCTACTATAATACAAAGCAAGGGCACTTGATAAAATAACTTAGTTCTCTATTTCATAATATTATCTCTATATAACATACATATATAAAACAAATTATGAGTAAAGAAAACTATTAATGATTTCAGGTCGGTACAATTATTATGATGCTTAGCTTTTAAAGGTCAACTCCGCGTCGCCTGACTCGGATTTTTTTTCGTCGTTTCGCTTCTTTTTTTTTTCCCTTTCTCTCTCACTCTCTCCGTGTATTCCCTTCTATCGTTCACTCTTTGTCTCACGGTGCGAAATTCTCGTACCGGCGGTCGTTACCACGAACAATGACTACGGCAAAGGACAGGCAAATTGCGCGCTCGCCAAGGAAGAGGAGAAGAGGAGGAAGAGGACCACGATGCTCGAGGGGAGCCGAATGTCTACTCAGAAAGGACAAGGGAAAGATTTCCGAGCCCGGAGGAACGACTCGACGGTGGCTTCTTTATGATAGATTCCGAGATAATACGGCCGACCCGTTCATACGGAATATAACCGTTCACAATGAACCGCGTCGGTTTACGCCGACGACGCATGCGCGGTAGCATCCGCAGGTAGTAACGGAAATTCTTTCCAGTCTTCGACTTCGTTAAGAAACTTGGATCCGTAAAATACCCGTAGTTACATACATAGCCTTTTATATGTAAATTACTACGTACGTTATCCTCCGAGTTTCCCTTATATCACGCGTTTCCCGTTTCGATACGGCGAGTCCCGAAAATTGGAAACGAAACTTTCGACCGTGCCCAGTGAAACAAGGCGATTGCTTCTTTTTAGCCCTCGGGTAACATATATATATATATTACCAAAGGACTAAAAAGACATACATATATATAAAATATATATACGCGTCGTACGTTCCGTATCTTACATGCAAAATGAAAGGCAAAAGACCTCTTTGCATCCGCAATTATCCAATCCTGCAATGACCCTACGCTACGAAATATAAAGAGCCCAGAAATCGGGGCCCGAGTAGAGTCGAACACTGGAAAAACCACTCGCCTTAATTTCTAACCATTCGAGAACGGCGATATCCCGCGAATGTTACCGCGAGCGAGAATTCGTCGAGGACGAGATATCGGATATTATCCGTTATTAGATACAAGATATTATCCGCAGTACTTCTCGTTATATTCGCTATGTCCGGCTCGACCGTACGCTCGCGAAGAACGCATATAACCATTTTTTAAAAGACCAAGAAAAAAAGACTGACGAAACCGTATACGCTATCGCATGGCCGCAGGTCCGAATTTTCGTCGTTCTCTTCCCTTCCGTCCTCTTCTCTAATTTACGTCTCGATCGAGGGACTAAGGGTACGCGTCTCTCTCGGGTCTGTCGCTTCCATTCGCTCTCGTAATCGCACATTCTCGCTTCGGAATAGGAACAACCAACCAGACTCTCATACCTCGTGTACTACTTGTACATCCTGCACGTAGTTATGCCGACGTACTCGTATGCAAATACGTGTGTGTTTACGCAACGATCACCGCATCAGTGCTTCGATCGAAGTACGTCGCTCGCGCGGGTTTCAGCCGCGTACGTGTGCCTGTCGGTGAGTGTGTGTACGTGCGTGTAATTTAACGCGCGTAAACGTTGACTTTAGTCGGTCTCTTTCTCTCATTCGCGCTCACACGCGCACACGCTTCCCTTGCTCTCGTTACTCGCTACTATGCGTGAATACAAGGTAATAATATTAATTATTTGAATAAAGTAACACGATGTGCGGTCAAATATTCACGGAATACCTGGCTGCACGGGTATATATGTATATGCGGTCATGCGAGGATAGAGCCACCACAGTCGTCGTCCCGCTGTCCATGCTTGTCCCTTGTCCTTTACACCGTATATATATATTATATCGGATTTATTAGTAGATATAGTATATATATAGTATAAATATGTACACGCACGCTAGTCTTTTAACAATCTCTCGAGTTGCACTCACGCATTCATTATTAAAAAGAAAAGAGTCGGAAGAGAGGGAATATATGCCAACTCACCCCCTCCCCTCCCGCGGTGGACGCGCGAGCGGAATCGGCTTCTGCGTCGCGAGTCCGGAGACACATCGTTTTACGGTAGATCTCTAGAATTACTCTTCCTCGTCCGTCCTCTTTCTCTCCCGCTCGTTACGCTCTTTCTCCCGCATTCACCGCGTCGTTAACTACCACTGGATAGCCTTCCTCCGCGTCGATTTCGCTCACATCCGAATTTCCTCGGTCCCTCTCTACCCTTTTCCCTCCCGTCCTCGCGTTTCCTTCCCTCCGTCGTCTCGCCGTCCTCCCTTAAAGTCTACGCTTCACTTTTAATTCACAATGACTTATCACATGTTTATCTGTTTCTTTCGTTTCATGTTTTTTGTGTTTTTTTTTCATCCCCTTCCTTCGTCTCATGTTAAACACTATTATCAGTCAGCCCACTGTTCGATACAAGGAACGATAATACAATTGAATATTTACGAACACAACATTTTGTCATGCTGAATAATGTTAGCGTGGCTTGATTCGCGAAGAGACGTCACGAGGGGGCCCTTGGATCCTCGAAAGCCACCGACGAGGCCATTCGCCTCCTCGCGAGCCTCTCCCTCACGATGTCCTACGTAGTCGACCTGTAAGTATGCTTGTGGTGGCGGTGTGGTGGTTGCATGGTAATGGTAGTAGTAGTGGTGGTGGTGGTGGTGGTAGTGGTGGTGGCGGTGGTGACGGTGGTGGTGGTGGTGGTGGTGGTGGTAGTGGTGGTGGTGGTGGCGGTGGTGGTGGTGGTGGTGGTGTTGGTGGTGGTGGCGGCGGTGGTGGTGGTGGTGATGATATAGTATTCGGTTTAGTATTTACAATTGATTATAGCAATCGTTACTTCCTTAAGACGAGACGGTGTGCAGTTCAGTGTTCAAGATTTGGCATGTATAAGTATGTCGAGGATACTTCATCTTTTAAGTCTCTCTTTCCACTACGAACTGCTCGACGCGTTCATACCACTGAACATGCCGGTAGTAAACGATGTCTGCTGCTGCTGGATCTGCTGCTGTTGCTGTTGCTGCTGTTGCTGCTGCTGACTGTTCGCTTGGCGGCCGTGCTTTGGCACTGGTGGCTGGAGGTACTCGTGTCGCGCCAACGTCAAGACGTCGATGCGCTCCTCTTTCCTGTACGCCAGGCAACTCCTAATGAAACTCTGAAAATTCGCGTCGATATCGTTAGTCTCGGTATATATATATTTTTTTTTCTCCCATTCGCGTGAACGCAGTCGTTTAATACATTACCTTCGCTTCGTTGCTAACGGTCGGCTTATTGGCGAACTGGACCTCCGTTGCTTTTAAAATTGTATTTTCCTCCAGGATCGTGGCTTGCGATTGATTATGCCCGAAAGGCTGTAATCGGACAACCAGAGCATGAACCGTGTACGTTGATTGAAAGATCGCATGTGAAGGGACAAAAAAATTAAAGGGGTAAACCTACCTTTTTTCCGTACAAACACTGATAAAATATGACTCCTACACTCCAAACGTCGACTTTTGACGATATTTTTGGCGGATTTTTTCCTACTACAAAACATTCCGGTGGAAGGTACCTGAAACGTTGCGAGAAGAAAATTAAATCCAGGCCTTAACGCCTTTTTGGAAGGAATGCAAATTTACGAAGTAATTTTGAAATAATACGTACCAATATGTACCAGCCCCTTGAGAAGTCAAATCCATTCCATGATCTGGGTTATAATTCTCCTCGTCCATGACTTTACTTAATCCGAAATCCGTAATTTTGATTTCGCCGCACACATTGCCCTCGGTCAATAAAATATTACCTGCGACACAAAATAAATCTGCTGTAAATATTATACCTTAACCTAAAGGTACATATACCGTTGGCGACCTCCTCACCTGGCTTTAAATCGTAATGTATGACTGGGGGTTTTATTTCATTGAGGTATTTCAATGCGGACACTACTTGCATAACGATAGATCTCGCTTCTCTCTCTGGTATTGTTTTATGCTGAAATAAAGTGAAGGTATTATATAGAACTAAACGTTAAGTAATCAACCCATCATACAATATTTACTCGATATACCTGCTTGAGATAGAAATCTAAATCGTGTCCGTCGCAGTATTCTAGGACGGTACAAAACGAATTGGCGTCGATCTCGAACACGTCGTACAGTTTGACGACCCGGGGGTGATCTAGAGCCTTATGTATGTTGTACTCCCGTAACGCATGTCTAAACAAAAATAAAATATGGATAGCGTAAAATTATTGAATAATCTGGTGGCCGTGCTCTGAAATAACTGTGTCAAAATAAATCCCACTTACTTAATATAATTAGCTTTTTTGTCTTCTTTCCAGTCTTTATTTAGTTGATGTACCTTGCAGGCCACGTAGCGTTGCTCTTTTAAGTCGAACGCCTAAAACACAAAGATATTTGTCAATTGAATAAATCAGTGGATTAAAAAAGAAATTAACCTACGGGTCTTGTATTTAGTTGCACAGACGTGAGTTACAATTTACCTTATGCACCTCACTGAAACCACCCTTCCCTAGCAGCATAAGTAGAAGGTATCGTTCGTTCAGTACGGGATGAGAATTAAATCTCGATTGGTCCTCGTTGTGTATGCGTTTTAATTCCCTGATGTGGAGGTTCCGTTCCCTCTCCAACTTCTCCATCTCCAGTTGCAAATCTGCGTCCTCTTTCTTTAACGCACTTTGCCTCAGCTAGCGAACAAAAGAAGCAAGAAAATGTAGACACAGTAACCCGAAAAATAATAATAATTTTAAGGATCAAAAGGTACCTTGAGTATTTCGTCAGCCTCGTAATACTCCTGCCAAGTGTAGGAGCCAGGCACCGCATCCGGTTTGAGAAAAGTAGCCTCGGTGCCGTTATGTAGGGAAGGTTGAGGCTGGCTTCGTTTTCTTCCGGTTTCACTGTTCGACGGCCTCTTCTTCAGGAGCAACTTCTTCTGCCTGTCGATCTCTTCCCTCTCCGTCGTGATTTCCTCCTGCCGTCGAGCCAGTTCTTGAAACGCGTACCCATCCGTCCAATTCTCTTGGAACGTCGCCCCTACCCTTTGCGTCACGAACTGACCCAACCTCAGTCTATTTTGCATACACTTTTGCCTAGCCTCCTTTTTCTCTATGTTTGATTTTTCTTTTAATAACTTCTTTACAACGTCTATACACTTATTTATATGCGATTTGTGCTGCTCAATCACCTTTTGCTGATTGGCCATTTGATGCCTAAGTTCATCCGTCGTCTGAAAAATAATTACATCTTACGATTAGTACTACGAAAGACAAATCGAAAGGCAGCGTTCACGTGCAGAAACGATAGGAATCCTCAGGTTGACTTTAACGATATCCTGATGACAATAGTGCTTCTCCGGGTTACCATAAAATATTACCATCTACAACATTTACTATCGTTTCCACATTATCGTACGAATGATTAAACCGACTTCGACGTTGGAAATTGATCTTAGACGGTGTCCCGAAGAGATCGCATGCTCCGTAACACCGTAAATCTGCTTAACACCGTGTAATTCATACTCACTCTATTCAATTCGTCAATTTTGTTATTACGTAGCTCTAAATCTGACGACGCCTGCGTTTCGAACTCTTGTATCCTCTGGCAAGTGAGTTCCGTCTGAAAATCGTTATCGGGACATTTTCAGAATTGTAATCGGTGACGTAGCAACCGATACATTTGTTAGCAAATAACAGATACCTTGGCGTTCATCCCTACGTAAAAAGATTGACCATAAGGTTCAAAGAAAAAAGCTATATCAAGACAATGCCGCCTTACGACCAGCCTCGAGCACTCGCTTAAGCGACAGTTTCAATTCCAACGACCCTCTAATTAATCTAACTTTGCGATCATCTGTCTACAGTCTACCCAGGCCCCAAGTGTCACTCGAATACGTAATACTTGATGAGGAACTAATCGCTTAATGGAATTAAGGTCGATATAAAGTGAAACTTTCTGTCGATATCAGGTCATCGTTTGAAACGTATTAAATAAATAATTATATTTCTTGTTCAAAGAGTGGCCTCCAGGACAATACTTGAGGCTGGAGAGAATTCTTAAACAGAGGACGACGTTGAAAGCAGCTATGCTTGCGGCGAGGCTAAAAGACACGGGCGAAAGTGCGACTGCCGCGCAGGCAGCAAGGAAAACACCAAAAATGTATGCATTTATGTGGGTGTGTACGAACGTCCATGACACGTAACAGTCAGACCATTCCAATGGAGGACTGGATACATTCGAAGTAACTTATGACATATCCAAACGATGGGAATTATTAGATGCTCCTATGGGTTACTCCGATGTAGCTCCTCAATGACTCGAGACTAAATTACCACTCAGATTAAGTATCGTCCACACCCAACGTTACGTTTCCGTGCCAATAGAAAGAAGATATTGAAATCGAACTCAAAGATCGAGGACCAAAGAACAAACGAGATCGCCAATTTCACTGAGACGAGGAAAAAAAATTCCAGTCAACCTAGGGAGTGCCGTTACAAGGTAGCCTGCATTTGTACGATAACAAATGGACACAGTGCTACAAACTGACCGGCAGTAAGTTAGCTCGGATCTCTGCAAACATTTGACAAGAAGCCTTCTGCTATGAGCACGTCGAAGCAGATATACCTTGACAGTTTTCCAATGTGCACATAAATCTATCCCGAAAAGAATCCTGAGTACAGCGAGGCAATCTCATAACCTCGCAGAAGCCTTCAAAGTTTAATGTTTGCAGGAACACAACTGGAATGGTGCTTACATTTGGGGTGTTAGTCTTCGCTTGCCTGACCTGGCTTGTCCTAGGGAGGTTGGTAGGCCTTACCTGCACCTGCTTGCTGACCATTGAGCCGGCAGGTTGAGTCGAGGCTGGCGGAGGAGGAGGAGGAGGTTGAGGGTGAGGTCGTGGCGGCTGCATCAACGAAGAAAATTCCGCCACTACTGAGTTGGGTGTCGTCACCTGAGGTGAAATGTGCTGTTGCGGCGAAGGCGGATACTGTAGAAACGGTTAGGTGTCAATTAACGTTACGATAAGATATAACCTAAAAAGCAACCACATCTTTACATATGCATAACCACCAAAATTCTAACAAGCATGGAAAAAGTAACTAACCATAGGGTACCCTTGCTGAGGGGAGGGACTCTTAGCACCGCCATGTCGGATAGGACTGCTTCCGAGATGATGTTTCGGGAAGTAGTCGTTGATCTTCTTATTTTCCAAGGCGGAGGCAGAGCGTGCTCCTTTTCCTGCCAGCCCGATAGGCCCGACAGGTCCAACAGGACCACCCCCGCCTCCGTCATCGATCTTTCGTTTTCTCTTCCTTTCGGAAGGGGTTCTTGGCACCTTTTCTGGCGTATTTGGGTCCACCTCTTTGTCACTGTGCGAAGAGCCTGCAAAATAACCATGAGCACTGAACCCTCTTCTTTCGAACCATGCCTAAAGATACTTTCCATACAACTGACAGACTCCGCCGTCAATCCGTTGTATCAAGAGTAACCTTTCATAATTTACACCTTATCGAACTCAGGAATTTACTCACCGGTGCTCATGTTAGAGTCTTGACTATGAACCGACTGACCAGAGTTTACGGTTGATTGAGGTGCCATCTGAATTTGTGACCCAGCGGACATCTGAAATCAAATGACACCCATGAAGCCACAGCTGCACCGAGGAACGCATCAAAGCTCGCGCGATCTCCTAACACGGTCCTCCCTAGGCAACATGGACATGAAAACAAGGTTCGGAATTCCGTTCCAGCGAGAGCCGATTTCGCTGTCTGTAAATCGCGTGCGATTCCCACCGTGGCCTAAAGTCATAGTTGGCCCGATCATGAGAGAGCCAAGGGATCGGGAGCGACGGAGGAAAGAGAGAGAACGAGGGAGAAAAATAGATCGTACCAAGCCGTAAGCCATCTAGACCGCTGCGTTGATTTACAGTTAAAAATCATGGCACTGTGACAGTACGTTAAGAATCGGTATCGAGGCCCGGGAGGGGGGGGGGGGGGAGGAGCACGTCGAGCGAGAGGTGCCAGCGAAGACAAGGAGGAGCGACATAACCAAGAAGGAGCGAGACAACCCGAGGCTCGCGGCAGCGTCCGCAAGAGGGACGCAGCGACTCGTGCAGCAACCGAAGGTGGGAGAGAGACGAACGTATGCGCGGACAAGAGGGGAAGAGAGAGACGGAGAGCGCGACGGAGCTAGACGGAGAAAGTAGACGCGAGGACCTGGACGGGGAACGAAGACGAGGAGTCCGGAGGAAGAACGGCCACGGGATGGCCGGAAGGAGAGAAAAAGAGAGAGAGAGGGAGCGGGAGAGACGGGCCGCCGCACTTCCGCGGATCCGTCGCGGATCTTCGCGGATCCGGGTTCGCGCCTCCCGCGAGAACAGCCGGACCGAGGAAAATGACGTACTAACGCGCGCTCGAGGACCAAGGGTTCTCGCCGCGGATGACGGGGTCGAGCCGAGGAAGCGAGACGGAGCCATGGGGGAGCGCGGCCGAGCGAGCGAGAGGCACGGGCGCCAGCAGGGACGAGGGAGGGGGGCCGCGGAGCGACGGAGAGAAGACGAGGCGCGGTAGCCGCGCGAGGAAGAGGGACGACAGACGGAGAAAGATATACCTTCCAAGACGGACTACGGCGGAGCCCCATAGTCGTGGTCGGTGTTGGCGCCGTCGGCCGACGTGACAACCATTGGCACGGACTAGCGAGAGGCTCGGACGCGAAAGTCGATCGAGACGTAAGGACCAAATCCGCGATATACGCTTAGTGCTAGAGGAATCACGACAAAATGGAGGACCCTAGCGAGCGGGGCGGGGGAGGGAGCAGAAGGGCGACGGCGGGAGGGGGAGGGGTCGATAAGGAGGCGCTCGCCCGCCACCGGTCCCGACTCGTCGCCGACAGATGGCGCCGCCGGCCGACGTGGATCACGGGAACCGGGCGCAGCCCGGAGATTAGGCGAACCTTTCGATTGACGTATCGAATTCCCTGGCGAAAGAAGCAGGTGTTCCTAAAGGCGGGGCGGCCACCGCGTTGCTTTTTAGGCGCGACGGGAACCCGAGGTTTCTTCCGCCTCCGAGCTCCTGGACGAAGCGGGAGAGATGAGCCGCGAGATTTATCCCGCGCGGACGAACTCGGATCGGGAAACGGTGAATTCGGCCGGCGCGGCAGGAGTATCGGTGGAAATTGGCGCGGGCGGACATTCGCGTCGGCGATTTCACTTTCGATTTCGAGCCACTGACACAACATGGCTGCTTCGCGCTCGTCCCGAGTGATCCGAAGGCGTGTCGTGGGACTCGAGGCGACTACCGTTATTGGGTACATTTCGGGATTAGTTTACCAGCGGCCCGTTGGGATCCGATCGGTTTCAATGGGATTAACAAAAGCTGGCACGCTCGGCGAGTTATTGTATTACCAGGCGGAAACGCTTCCGAGAACCAGTCCTCTTCCGTCCCAGGTAGCCTGGCAAAATTTCGACCGCGTCGAGCGAGCTCGACCTACCCTTATAAATTTACAAGCCCTGCCGTGAAACCGGGGCTGCTAAAGGTGCATCGACCATTTAGAAAATTCGGTGACTTTTCTAAACTCCACCGAGCATTTCCCGATGAATCGAGATAGCGTGCCGGGTGGTTTATACCCCGGGTATCGGGACTACGAGGGAACCCGCGATAACCTATGTTTATAAAATGGCTGACCTCCAGTTTAAACTCTGCGACCATTCCAACGACCAGGGAGAGGCTATATTTTCTTGGGACCTCCAGGCTGATCGGCCGCGAAAACATGCGCGATTACTCAACGCCCTCTCGCTGAGCCGTCAAACTTGCCATATTGAAAAGTACTACTAACATTCCTAACGCCTCCATTTCCACATTATCATTGACACTTTTCGACTTCGAGTTATCGAAAATCGCGAAATTGCCCCCATCGCAAATGACGCATAAAAACACGTACCGACCACGTGACTACGTTAAGGAGAGAGAAAAAAAACATGTTCAGCGTTACGGGAAGGATTCGGATGTTTTTGGAGGCGGAATCTATGGAATACGGGAATCCGTGGTTAACCCCATGCAAGGTAGATCCATCCCTCGAATAAACGCGCTTTAAGGGGTTGAGCTGCGTTACCTTTCTCGACGAGTGTAGCGGTTTCCGACGGTCATGGAAAACACGGATCCCGTGATATGCTCTCGGAGGCTCACCTGCGGAGCGTACCGCCGACATGACCTCGTTATCTCGAAATCGAAAAGTGACAACCATGCTTGCGATTACTCGCGCGAGCTGCGCGTCAGGGCCTGCCCTACCGGAAGCGACCGGCCGCCTACATTCACCGTTTTCGGACAAGGCTTTCCAAGATGGCGGCGGTAGCGCGCCTCGTATAGAGCGATCTCGCCTAGTGTGCGTCACGGGCTCTCGGCGGCCAACTTCACGGCACCTCGCAAAGTCGGACGCAACTTTAAAATCAATCGATGACAGGTTAGCGAGGTTAGCCTTTAAAAGATGGCGGACTCGACGAGTCGTTCGGCCACGAACTGCGCGGAGGGGCGCGTCTAGTCGTCCGCTTAGAATCCGACATTTCCACTTCCCGAGTCGCTGCACCGACGCTTCGAGTCCCTCGTCTAAGATTCATCTCGAAGCCGTCGCCGCCTCGAGGGAAGCCGCCATTATCGGGCGACTTCGAGTCGTGGCTCGGCGTAGGTCCGCGCGAAATGAAAGTTATTTGCATGCGCGGCCCAGAGCGCGCGATTAGCGCCTCCGGCGCGCGCACCGAGAGGGCGCGTCGATCGCCGGAATCCCGGATTCGCCTGGCGACGTTATCGCCGATATACAAATTACTCTTCGAACACCAAGTTATGACCTTCGAGTCGCCGCCAAAAGATAAAACATATCGCGGATTAACCTGCAAAGGGCGCGATAATAAAGTCCAAGTGCTCCGTAAATAGGTTAAATAACGCTGCAGTCCCTTTTCATATCCCACTCCTAAATCCGGGATTAATCGGTCCCGGATCCAGTAAATCGCGCCTCTCATCGCGTTAATAAATATTCGATTATCACTTAAATGCGGATTTACTGGGTTTGGATCCGATAAATCCGCACGATGGAGACGCGGCCAGGCCATGCTCCGCTTGGCGACGGCAAGATCACGTGACCAGCCCCGGCATCGAGTCTACGCCAATGAAAGGGTACCTTAAGCCAGATACCGGGAGAAATTGTGGGAAATACTTCGGGGAAAAGTTCTAGCATAGTTCCGTCCCTTCGTTGGCTTGGATGCGAGCTAACGACCACGGCCAGCTTCGAACCGGTATGGTCAACGGCCGGCGCGTTAAGAGTCGCTCGCGATTCCAGGGAAACGTCGATTGCGGCGACTCGAATCGCGTCACGACGCGGCCTTCCAATGACAGCGCGCGCCTTCGCGACGCGTTTACGTGCGCGCGTGCCGTTGAGAAGGGCCGAGCGTCTCTCGATTTAAGGTGACGTGAAAGTGGCATCATAGAGGTATCCTTTATGAAGCTTTTCTCCTAAGTAGGCCTACCGAATCGTCTCGAACTTGGCAATGTGAATATGGAGGTTACAAGGAAGGTCCTTAAACTCATGAAATTTCAATTTTAAGATAATTTGTTCATACCTATTATTAACAATTTTAATAACAAATGAAATTTTGCCAGTTTCGGGACCTACCTTAGGGTCTCCTTATTCGTGTGGTAAAATTTGAGATAAATTGCTACACCCAATTCGGAGAAAAGTTTCATTAACGATTGACCCCTAAGATGCCACGCCGCGCCATCCCCTTAACGGCGCGATTAATAACTCTATAGTCCGCGCGCGTCGCTACTACGTCACCGTGACGTTGCCCAGCCGATAAATTGGCCTCGGCCACGGCCGCCCCCCTCCCTCCTCTCCACGCGCCTTGCCGAGAGTATTTTCGTTACCGCGCGTCGACTCTATTACCCGTTTCAACTGTCCGCGGTGTTGCAGCCCGGCCGCGTCCTCTGCGGCACGCGACGCCGTGTAAGACCGGCCGCCCGTTACAAATGGCGGCCTCGAACGAGGCCTTCCAACCTCGCGGATGTCCCTAGCGCTGAAATAGTATAAATGGAACGATGAAAACGCGCTCTTCGTTCCATTGTCCGTCTCAACGATCCGCGTCGTCACGTGACGGCCGCGTCCACACGACGCGCGTAGTCGTGTAAGACGGCCGTTACAAATGGCGGCCTTGCGCAAGGCCTTCCAACCTTACTGATTCCGATTTACTGGCGGTTGTTCCTAGCATGAAAATATTATAAAAGAATCTACGAAAATGCGGTTTTTTTAATCCATTATCTGTCTCAATGATGTGCGTTCACACGACGCGCGTAGTCGTGTAAGACCGGCCGTTACAAATGGCAACCTTGCACAAGACCTTCCTTGCCGATTCCGATTTACTCGCGGATGTCCCTAGCGAGGGGATGTTTTAAAAGGAACGACGAAAACGCGGTTTTCATTCCATTATCCGTCTCAATGATCCGTGCCCGCAACGACGCGCGTAGTCGTGTAAGACCAGTCGGCCGTTACAAATGGCGGCCTTGAACGGCGACGCTCGCCTCGGCGGTTCTAACCCGGAGTCCCAACTACTCTAATCTAAAATCGAAATTTCGTCGAAC